CTTTTACCACCCTCCCTCTCACCGGTTCTTTGACTCCCGTGACGTCCGTTTCGAGGAGTCCACTCCGTACTACGTCAAGTACCCCAGTCGAGGTCTCCCGGTTCCTCCTCCCCCCCTCTTCCTGACTGCCGTTCCCCCTCCTGCTCCCCCGGTACAGCCTCCCCCCCCTGGTCCAGCCCCGTCAGGTGTGTCCCAGGCTACCCCTCCTCCTACGGTAGCCCCTCCGGTACAGCCTCCCTCCCCACAGTCCTCCTCGCAGCGTGCCGCTGGTGCTAGCTCTCGAGAGGTTGGTGCGGCGCCTGTTCCTGTACCGGTTTCTGGTTCTGGGGGTGCTGGAGTTGGAGCTGGAGTTGGTGCTGGAGTTGGAGCTGGGGTTGGAGCTGGAGTTTCTGGTTCTGGAGTTGGAGCTGACCCGATGGGTGCAGAGGACTCTTGTCGTCCAGGAGCTAGTGCTGGCCGCGCGGACACTGGGGGTGCTGCGTCTGGGGGTGAGGGTGCGCCTCCTTCGGGTTCAGGTGAGCCTGGTTCTGGAGCTGGTGTTAGTGCTGCCTCTGGGGGTGGTGCGCCTAGTTCTTCTGAGGTGGACTCTGGAGCTGCCGCTGCTTCGGACACTACTCCACCCCCCCACCCCTACCCGACTAGGCACCAGGCTCGTGTTCGCCGTGCCCGTTACGAGCAGCTGGCGTTGGAGAGAGAGGAGAGGGAGTTACAGCGGCTGGAGGAGCAGCAGCAGCAGCTGGAGCCGCAGCAGCAGCAGCAGCAGCAGCTGGACCTGCAGGAGCAGCAGTCCCAGCAGCAGCCGCGTCCGCAGCAGTAGCAGTCGCAGCCGCAGCAGCAGCAGCCACTTCCTCCTCCTGTCTCGGGTCTTCGGATCCTTGGTCTCCCCTCCCCTTCTCCTCCCTCCTCCGCCTCTCCTCCTGTCTACGGTCCTACGTTTCCTCCTCCTGACTCCTCCCCCGCTGTTTTCCCCAGTTCTCCGCCCTTGTCCTCTTCTCCTTCGTCTCGTTCTTGGGCTACTCGTCGCTCCCCTCGTGCTCGTCCCTCGTCTCTTGTTCCCTTCACTGACCTTTGTACTGCCTTCCTTCTTTCTAGTCCACCTCGTCCGTCTCAGTCTGTGCTTCCGTCTCCTCCTGAGTCGGCCCTCACTGTGTCGCTCCCTACTCCTGTCACTGACTACTACCGCACGTACCGTCCTGTTCTCTCTCGTGTTCTCGCCTCTCTTGTTACTCACCCTCGTGCCTCTGTGTCCTCTGTGTCCGCTCTTACTGCCGCAGTTACTGACTTTGCCTCTACCCGCCGCCTTGACTACGCCACCATGCTTGTGGCTGCTCCTCCTACCAGTCCTCTGGTCGTCGGGGGTGTGTCTGCCCTTGGCTGTGACGCCCTAGAGGACAGGCAGTTTGAGCTAGAGTTCCTGGCGGCCGCTTCCCCTCATCTCTGTGCCATGCTCCTCGCCCCTGAGGGTGACCCCGACGCCCTTGACATTCCGACTCCTCGCACTTACGCTGAGGCAGTGTCAGGGCCTTGGGCCTCTCAGTGGAGAGCTGCCATGGACGCAGAGATGGCCTCCTACAGATCCACAGGCACCTACGTCGATGAGGTTCCCCCCCCTGGGGCGAACTTAGTCGACGGCATGTGGATCTACAGGGTGAAGCGGCCACCGGGATCTCCCCCGGTCTTCAAGGCGCGCTACGTGGCTAGAGGTTTCTGTCAGCGCGAGGGAGTTGACTTCTTTCAGACCTTCGCACCTACCCCGAAGATGACCACTCTTCGGGTGTTATTACACGTAGCAGCACAGAGAGACTACGAGTTACACTCTCTTGACTTCTCCACTGCTTTCCTTCAGGGCAGTCTACACGAGGAGGTCTGGTTGCGTCGTCCCTCGGCCTTCACTGGCACTTTCCCTCCTGGGACCCAGTGGAGGCTGAGGCGACCTGTTTACGGTCTTCGCCAGGCCCCTCGTGAGTGGCACGACACTCTGCGTTCTACCCTCTCTGACCTTGGGTTCCAGCCGTCTTCTGCCGACCCGTCGCTGTTCGTTCGTCGTGGCTCCACACCGTTCTTTGTTCTGGTCTACGTCGACGACCTCGTTTTCGCCACTTCGGACAGGGTTGCTTTGGCAGACGTGAAGTCCGAACTGCAGAAGAGACACACGTGCACTGATCTTGGTGAGCTGCGCCACTACCTTGGCCTGCAGATCACCAGGGACAGAGCCGCTCGCACCATTACACTCTCACAGTCACACATGGTGCAGCAGGTCCTTCAGCGGTTCGGGCTTCAGCACTCCACTGTACAGCGCACACCTCTAGCTGTTGACCACAGACTCACTGGTCCCTTTCCTGACGAGCCGTTTGAGCCTAGTGGTCCCTACGCAGAGCTTGTGGGTTGCCTGATGTACCTGATGACTTGTACTCGCCCGGACCTCGCCTTCCCTCTCAGCATCCTTGCGCGCTTTGTTGCGCCAGGGAGACACCGTCCTGTTCACTGGACGGCAGCTGTGAGGGTGGCGAAGTACCTAGCGACTACATCAGGCGTGGGGCTAGTTCTTGGAGGGCAGCAGTCTGTCGTACTCACTGGTCACTGTGACTCCTCTTACGCTGACGACGCTGAGACTCACAGGTCTACTCAGGGGTACTGTTTCAGTCTGGGTTCTGGAGCTGTTTCCTGGCGTTCCACGCGCTCCTCTTCTGTCTCGACCTCTACAGCTGAGGCTGAGATTTACGCTGGTGCCATGGCGGCACAGGAGTTGCGGTGGTTGACCTTCTTGCTCGCCGACCTTGGTGAGCGGCCGAGCTCTGCACCGACCTTGTTTACTGACAACAAGGTGTCGATCCTCCTCTGTCGTGAGCCGCGACTGGAGAGCAGAGTGAAGCACATTCACGTCAGGTACTTTCTTCTGCGAGAGTTGCAGAGGCGTGGACAGGCTCGCTTCGAGTTTGTAGAGTCCGAGGCCAACACTGCAGACATCTTCACCAAGGCGCTTGCGCCTTGTGACCACCAGAGGTGTTGTGTGCAGTTAGGCCTTGTTGACACAGGTTCTAGTCATGCGTAGACTTGAGTTTATTGCCTGCTTCGTCTGTACACTTACTATATATACTTGTGATCTCTTGGACTGGCCTTGTGGCCACTGTTGCTTGTGCTCAGAGTGTGTGGTGACGTTGTGATCCACCCTGAGCTTTGTTTTCTTTTGGACTGGTCTTGTGACCGTACTCTTTTTTTTTGTTTTTGCTAGACACCCCTCACTTAGGCTATGGGGGTGTGTCAAATGTTGTAGCCTGTAGTGAGGTTTGTCTCAGGGGGTACAGAAGTTAGGGTTTGTTATATGTACCCCAACCAACATCAATGGAACATCCATTCCTCATTCTGACACAGATCGCGTGCCGACGTGCTTTGCATCGCTGGAAGGAACTCTCACAGCGGCAAACTTTGAGTTGAATTGGTGATTCAACTTTGTTTTTCTTTTTTACACTGATGGTTCAGTCTAATTATGATTTTTACACTGGCAAAATCAGTATTAAAAAAACCATGAACGCTGATTTGGACACCTGGGCGACCGGGGCACGCTGATCGATCAGCATACCCTCAAACCAATCTGAGGGCCTGGGCCATGGTGTCATCAGCCAAGTCTAGTCTTAAAGCAACTACACTCGTATAGTAGTACCATACAATTTCATCCTAGATCACAAATCCGTGTTTTGGGAGCCCCTCTTAACAAGCAAACACGCAAGCCTATACGGGTAACCCACAATACGCGGAGAGCAGCAGAGCACATAATCAGGCTTGTGTGACGTCAGATTGAACACCCCCGAGTCAAGCTCAATAGCGGTAACATCTAGCAGCACATGCCAGCAGGTGCGCTGAGCCTCAGACACCCAGTGCAGGGAGAACGTTTGGCCATTTGCACACATGGGGTAGGCGAAAAGGCCCTGGAGAGTGGTAATACGGGAGGGAAAAGGGGGTGAGGAAAGAGGGAAGGGAGAAACATCGAGATTTGTTGGGTGCTGTTATTCCTGTCAGGGCAGTCTTGGATTATATCAGAGAGCCCGACACACACTCTCTCTCTCTCTCCAAAATCTGCAATAAGCAACATCAACAGTAATGACAATTCGGCTGCTAAACTGGCTGCTCAGCTTCTGCAGATCCAACCAAACAAGGCATACTATAAATCACTGCGCTAGTCACCTTGGGGTTGGCTTTGCTCTTGCGTCGGAAGTTGGTGCTGAGCTGGCTTCCCGGCTTCTGCAGGTCGAGCCATGATAGGGGCGCCTGGATCACCTTGGAGTCCTGCAGAGAGGGAGTGGAGGAGGAAGAGAGACTTCAAGGCGCCATAATGGTTTACACACATCTCAAAAGGCTGTGCAGGTCGAGCCATGATAGGGGCGCCTGGATCACCTTAGAGTCCTGCAGAGAGGGAATGGAGGAGGAAGAGAGACTTCAAGGCGCCATAACGGTTTACACACATCTCAAAAGGCTGTGCAGGTCGAGCCATGATAGGGGCGCCTGGATCACCTTAGAGTCCTGCAGAGAGGGAATGGAGGAGGAAGAGAGACTTCAAGGCGCCATAACGGTTTGCACACATCTCAAAAGGCTGTGCAGGTTGAGCCATGATAGGGGCGCCTGGATCACCTTAGAGTCCTGCAGAGAGGGAATGGAGGAGGAAGAGAGACTTCAAGGCGCCATAACGGTTTGCACACATCTCAAAAGGCTGTGCAGGTCGAGCCATGATAGGGGCGCCTGGATCACCTTAGAGTCCTGCAGAGAGGGAGTGGAGGAGGATGAGGGTTTTCAAGGCGCTAAGAGGGTGAAGTCAGGTGAGGGTTAGAATGGGGAGGGCAGGAGCGGAAGAGGCGGTAAGCGTAAGCAGCGAGCACCATGGCCTTGCGCACTGAGGGCATGAAGGCATGTGGCACTCCTCGCTCTCCATGCCCTCCTCCCTCCTCTCCCTCTCCTCGCTCTCCATGCACTCCCTCCCTCCTCTCCCTCTCCTCGCTCTCCATGCACTACTCCCTCCTCTCCCTCTCCTCTCTCTCCATGCACTCCTCCCTCCTCTCCCTCTCCTCGCTCTCCATGCACTCCTCCCTCCTCTCCCTCTCCTCGCTCTCCATGCACTCCTCCCTCCTCTCCCTCTCCTCGCTCTCCATGCACTCCTCCCACCTCTCCCTCTCCTCGCTCTCCATGCACTCCTCCCTCCTCTCCCTCTCCTCGCTGTCCATGCACTCATCCCTCTTCAACCACTAAGAACCGTTGCACATACCTTGTGCGTTGCAAACATGCTGATGCTGTCATCGGTCTGATCCAGAGCGGTGAGGAACACGATGTGGCGGTGGAAGGGGTATGCTTCAGCCACGAGCACCATGGCCTCTTGCACCGAGGGCGTGAAGACAATGTGGTACTCCTCACTCTCCATGCACCGCCCTCTCCTCTCTAACCCCCCTCTCCTCTCTATCCTCCCTCTCCACGCCGCACGCACGCAAGAAAGCAAGCATCTGCCAGAGAAACCCACCTTGTGCGTGGCGAACATGCTGATGCTATCATCGGTCTGATCCAGAGCTGTCAGGAACACGTTGTGGCGGTGGAAGGGGTACGCCTCAGCGACCAGCACCATGGCTTCCTGCACCGAGGGCGTGAAGACAATGTGGTACTCCTCACTCTCCACACCACACTGCTGCAGAATGCGCCTCCTTGCGTGTAGCTCCGTGACAGAGACGCTCATTGAGAGGTCCAGCACGTCCCGACTCTCCACCAGGATGTCCTGCAGGGGGGAGGAGGGAGGAGAGTGGGGGAGTGATGGCACGGAGAAATTGAGAATCAGAAGGCCATCTAACAGGCTCCGTCACCTCACACTCGTTGGGAGGTCCAGCACGTCCTGGCTCTCCACCAGGATGTCCTGAGGAAGAAAGGTAGGGTGGGGAGATGGGGCAGGGAGTTGATTACGCAGATGGATCATGGAAGCAATAATGCTCGGGCAGACAGACGCTCATTGAGAGGTCCAGGACGGCTCGGCTCTCCAGCATGCTGTCCTGAGGGGCAGAGAAGGGGAAAGGGAGGAGGAAGCGGAGAGAGGAGTGGAGAGGAACACGGGGGAGGGGAGGTGGACAGAGGTGAGAAGGCAGAGAAGAGGGAAGATGATGTGGTTGTCCTCATCATCACTCCCCACCATCATGTTCTCAAGGCACACAGGAGAGGGGGGAGGAAGCAGAGAGGGAGGGGGGAAGAAGGTGATGACGCAGAGGGGAGGAGGCTGCAACCTTTCGCTCACATCGAAGACGTTTCGACGCTTCCCTTCCTTTTCTTCCTATTCCGTCCAATCTCTGCGCATTCATCCAGAAACTGCTCCTTACATCCATTTCTTTAGGGTTCTGAAGCACGCGTCCGAGTCAGGAGTTTCGACGATCCCACTTTGTTTTCTCTTTCGCATTCTGCATTCACCCGCATTTTGCTCGTTAAAGAAGCTATTTCTTTAGATATCTCAAAGATGAACATCTTTCACGTTTTTCAGCGCTCCCACTTTGTTTTCTCTGTGCACTCACCCGCGTTTTGCTCGTTACAGTCATCCATCTCCCTCTCTCTCCCTCTTCCTGTCAGTCTTCCTCTCCCGTCAACTCACCCGCAGTCTGCTCGGGTTCAGCAGCGCGCGCCCCGGCTGAGTCGCGGTGACCGTTCCCGACGGGACGAAGCGCGAGAAGAGCCGCGACTTGTTTTCCGACGGGGACGACGCGGAGAACGATGGAGGAGGACCGTTGCGCTGCATCATCTTGCGCTGCTGCTCCATCTGCTGTTTCTGCTGCTGCATCTGCTGCTCCATCTGCTGCTTTTGCTGCTGCAGCGAGTCGCGCATCAGCGGAACCACGTTTCCTCCCCCCGCCGCTGTGGGACTGGTGCTGTGTGCGCGGAACTGCGGAGAGGCCGTTCCGCTGCTGCTCCCCCCCGCGCTTACGGTGCTGTTACTCCTTCCGAAGACGGCGCCCGGTCCGCCCATTCCGCCGTATCCCCCTTCCCCCTCCGCGTCCCCCTCCTCGTCATCCATCGCGAGTAGCTCCGCCATGGGGGACAATCCCCCGCCGTACCCGCCGCCATTCCCGCCGCGATACCCGCCGCCGTCCGGCTCCTCTAACACGCACGGCATGGGGAAGCCAAGCCCCACGATGCACTCCGTGAAAATCGCCGGGTAACGCGCTTTGACGTAATCTTCCACGTAGCGCATTTCGTTATCGGAGATCGGTGCGGACCAGCGCACGTCGAGCGCCGGCTCGCCCTTGTTGCCGCGAAGCGCGGCCATGGCTTCCGCGACAATGTGCGGAGGGATTTCGACGCGGCCTTGGCTGATCTGCGGGGCGGGGGAGGGGAGAGAGGGAAGGCGTGAGACTTTTTACAACACGGTAATGTGCGGAATGCGACGTGAAGCGCGGCCATGGCTTCCGCGACAATGTGCGGAGGAATCTCGACTCGGCCTTGACTGATCTGTTCGGCGTGACGGACAGCGGGAGAAAGAGGGGAGAAGAGGGGAGGGGAAAAAAAAATATAGCAAAAACTTATTGACTGAAAAATTCCCAAGTTACGATTGAATCTAAATATTCGATTCAGAAATGGCCTCCTTACCACGTCGTCCATCATTAATAGCTTGTGACAATGAACCGCCTCGACTCTTTGAATAAACAATCGTCTTTGGTAGGTACCAACGGAATTCGTACGTTTTCGACCGCAATGCATTGCGTAGTGCTGCTCCGAAAACTGCAATGACGACCCGCCGATATCGCGGCGCAACTGTCGAATTCGCGGTTTAGTCTGCTTTGCTTGGCATTACTGTGCGACTAGAATAATGGCGAGCACCGATCGGGACTCTCTTAAAAGACCAGCGACTCGAGCGTCGGGCTGCGACGGACTGTAACGTTCCGCCATCACGTGCGCTGCTAGCGTCCCGTAATGGCGTCGCATAGGCGTCGCGTATTTTGAATTGCCGTGTACTTGCGTCGAGTACTTGCCTGGCCTGACGAGCTCTTGTGTGGATCCGCAGCCGCCATTTCAATCGATCATCCCCTCGTGTCGTGTCTTGTCGTGTCGTGTCGTGTCGTGTCGTGTCGTGTCGTGTCGTGTCGTGTCGTGTCGTGTCGTGTCGTGTCGTATCGCTGGTTCGTCGACAACGCTTGCGCGAGACGCCGAAGGGAAGAGTCGAGAGATGATTCACGCTAGTTACCTCACTTAACGGGGGATACCACAACCGACCCTGCTTCGAGAACAGCACTACGCAAAGTAAAAGTAGAGAGCGATGGACAAGACTGGTCAGGAAAAGGCAAGGAGCTTCATGTTGTCACATTCTATTGGTGCAGGAGGAGGTTCAAAAGAAATGAGGGCGTGTCATACGAGTTCATTTACAGGTCATTTCGACCTAGGTAACCCTTTTTTGCTTTTGTAACCCTTAATGCTGGACTCTTGTAGACATGTGTCTTCAATGACGCGCGGCATTGACGCGCTGAATGCGTCAAAAGGCTCGAATTTAAAACGTTCAGAAACAGCTGTCAATGTACGTACCATCACCTTGAAAAGGTCCGCGTAACCCTAATTCCCAAACCCAGAATTCGCCCAGAAATAGCGACCGGCCAGTTTTGGCACTATAGATTCGCAACCGGTCCGGGCTATCTTTCGCGAACCATTCGAATGTGATTCGGGATCGAGTTTTGTGTGAACGGGGTGCTGAGTCCGCATGGTGCAACTTCGTTCGGTGGAGTGCTGACGCGATGCGTTAGTTTTTCGTCATAGTGTACACTACGCTGCTTTGTCGAGGTTACGTAACAATTACAATTGTTTCCACAAATGAACTTGCTGGACACGCCCTGAAGGACACCTTCTGTAGACAGAACTGTCTATGGTGACTTTCCTGATGCATGTACCTGTCGAAGGTTTCAAGAAAGAACGAGCTGGCTAGCAGCTCGAACAAAGTGCATTCGAACGGCGCCGTTGTCTCACACCCCACCACTTCACGGCTCGTCATTTTGCTTGGCTGCATTCAACCTTGCTGCGCACTGACCGTTTCTGGTAATCAGAAATCACGTTCCGAGGTTTCTGAGGTTTTTGTTCTGAGCCCAATCATGCGGTTTATTATAGTGTTTGTCGCTAAAGACTTCTCGTGAGGCACGATTTTTTAGCTTCGTGCCAGAAACCCCAGCGATGAAGGTCAGAGCAGAGAGGGTGACTAGACATAAAATCTGAGCTACTGGAAGCCCGATGTGTGCAGGACCAGCAAGAGAAGTGAAGGGGGGGAGGGGGGACTCGAATCGAAACGAAACCTCCAATCAAATTCATCGATTACAATTGATGCCTGTTTGAGCCCCTCCCGGTTGCCTTGTGAAGAAGGCGTATAAATTGAAACAAAAATTTCGCATACGGTTCGTCAATTCGCAGCTAGCTAAAAAGGTTTCGCAGGTACTTATATGGAAGATCTGTTACCTCATCCGTTGACATTTTGACTTCATTCTTTTCTGCTTGACTTCAGTCTGTTCGTTTCTATTGGTTGATAACCACGCGACGCGCCTGTAACGTAGGTGCAACAGGCTGGGGAAACAACCTCGGGTGCAGCGTATCTATCCGGCGCAAGGCAAATGCGCGTGCACTGGCTGGGCATCCATTGTAGCACCAAAATACGCTGTACACCCACCACGGACAAGTAACCACAGTGCACGCAGTGTCGATTGGATCGGGTGTCACTCCCATCAACGGACGCAGGGGGGGTAGCGTATCAAGTCTCCAAGAGTGACTGCCACATCCACTCCACCCTGCACTGAATCAGCACTTCAAACTAGAGTAGCCCGAAACTTCTGGTGTATGTAGTACATTTACCCTGAACGTTGAAGGGTTGGAAATCGTTCCATATCAGTTCCAAGTCTCTTTGGCACATGGGAGCAAGTGGGTGGGTTTTGTTGGAGCGGCTGTAGTTCTGCCAGATCAAGTGAGTGGCAAAGCGGCCAATCAAATTATCCAACCAAGCAATGAGCATAGCGTTTGTTGCACAATTCAGTTTCAGGTAAACAGTCAAACAGCTGGATTGTTGTCAAATGGTGGATTCGTTTGTGTATTGTCTCGGGAACAGTGTGTAATGGGTCGTTTCTCCTGGCCCCACTGTTATAAAAAACATGATTGTAAATTAACAATTGGAACATATGTAATAACGGTATAGGAACAGTGGGTAATTGCGCGTTTCTCCTGGCCTCCCTATTAATTTATTGAGAGACACAAGAGTTCACATACTGATACGATGGAGTGCAGATACATGTATTTATTCAAGTAGCATGGTAGCATGTATTTGTTCACTAATAGCATGGTAGCTAGACATAGATTTTCCTGCTACTTTCAGGAAATGGAACATACAGTGTCGGTAGCCACATAGTGAGATCAAGTTTCTTAACCTACGGTCGACTTATCTCGATTTTTCCCTAAGGGAGTAGTCCACCACGTGGCACTCGCTTGGACATACCAGCGCTCTGCCGTCGGATGAACATCGGAGACAAAGGATATCCTCTATTCAACCAACCAGCGAGCATTGGATTCCACGACCACACGTCAAATACACTGCATCCGAAGCACTTTTTCACGGAGCTGATCACATCACCAGGTCATTTAGTTCCTTCGCCCTCATCACCCTACTCAACCGCTTTGCATTACCAATACACTGCTTGAAAACTTTGAAAAACGTGCAGGACCGCAGCCAACCTAGTGCCTGAATGATGAGGTCCGAATCTGACCAACACTTGATTGAAGTGAGAATGCTTTTCCTCAGAGCCAGCACAGTACATGTTCTTAGTTCCTAGTCAGAGCCAGCACGGTGTGAACATCGTTCTCCAGCGACATAATTCTCAGTCATGGCGTTGTGCCTGCGAGGAGGCCTTTCTGCTGTCACTGTTTCCGTCGATCTCGCAAGGTACGATGAAGCGGACACGGACGTTATGCAACCTTACTGAAACGGAATGTAGGTGCTACTAAAAAAATTCTCTATTGTCAACGTTGTGAATGATGTGAATTACGACGAAGCGGACACGGACTGCAATGCGTCAGCGCGAGCTGACATAGGCATATACAATTAGAGAACGCGTCGTCTATGCAATGTGCACCTGCTTCCCTAAAATGTATTTCTTCTTAACACGTAATCACCTACTATATTGTACTCGCCTTGTAAAGTTTCTTCACGTTTACTGATTATTGTGACTCCTTTCGCTTCTTATTCTCCTTCTCACACCAGATATGAGCCTGCCAATCGCCTCTTCTCGTCTCACCAGCGGCTGCATTCCTCACGAATCTGCAGAACTCACCTGCCGAATCCCCTGAGAAGTCGCCTGATGAGCCACGCGACAGGTCAGCGCACGGCCAGCTGGGTCAGAAACGGTTTCATGACTGAAACGGGGGGTGGAGAGTGGGACGAGGAGGACGAAGAGGAATTCGACGAAGACGAGGAGGAGCATTGGGAAGAGGAAGAGGAGGAGGTGGAGGAGAGGGTGGAGACGGTCCAAGTTCAGGCGAGGTTGTATGAAGATTCCTCGGGATACAGCGAAGGAGATGAGCAGGAGGCCAAGGCTCATGCGGCGCATCAGGCGGAAGAAGAGAAGAAGCAGGAGAACCAGCATCAACAGCCGCTGCAGTGGTTGGCGGAAGGAGCTGCTGCTGCGTTAAAGGGAGCTGTGGAGGGAGGTGTTGTGGCTGCTGCGGTGGGGGCTGTGCTTGAGGCGAGTCAGTCCGCGGAGGAGCATTCGGAGAGTGATGCGCGGGAGAAGGGCGAGGAGTATTCCGCCACCATGCAGGTCGCCATGGGGAACACAGGTGCGTGTTTAGCCTGATGTGCTGGAGGCGAGTCAGTCCGCAGAGGAGCATTCGGAGAGTGATGCGCGGGAGAAAGGGGAGGAGTATTCCGCCACCATGCAGGTGGCCATGGGGAACACAGGTGCGTCTTTGTTTCTAGTTAGAATCCAGCGTTCAGCTGGCTACGGGAACCACAGGAGTGTGTGGACGCAAGAGCCACCGTGCAGGTGGCCATGGGGAACACAGGTGCGTGTGTGTGGTTATCGCACCTCGTCCTCATCCCTCCCTGTCCTCCTCCGTCCCTGCGCGTGTGCCCTGTCTCACTCCAACATCCCTTCCAACGCTGGCACCCGCCACGAGCCTGCGCATGAATCATGACTTGGTCCTCACACTTACTCCTCCCCTCCTCTCTCTCTCTCTCTCTCTCTCTCTCTCTCTCTCTCTCTCTCTCTCTCTCTCTCTCTCAAATGGTCCGTTGTATTAATTCAGCAGGGGTACAGACATGCAGTTCTATCCATGATAACCTCAATCCCATAAGCCCATCAACTCACCCCTCTTCCCCTCCCCTCCCCCCTGAGTGACCCTCTAGCCTTCCAGCGTGTGGAGGATGTCCCCCAGGTGCAGCGGCCAAGGGTCCGCTGCCATCTGGGGGTGTGCTGCCTCAATCCCAGCCCTGGCCTTGGTGTGCAAGGCGTTCGCCTGGGAGCGCTGGAGGGCCACTGACCAGCGCTGGCTGAAGTGGCAGGCCATCTTCTTGGCGGATTTCGCCAAGGGGCTGGCCCTGAAGCGGTTCCTAGCTGCTGCTGTGGCCAGCAGTTTCAGGAACGCCGTCGTGGGGGGCGCGTTTGCCCCATAGGTCTTGACCGCCAGGGCGCAGAACACCACGTGTTCAGTGTGTCGGTAGTAGTCCCTCTCCTTCCGCTTCTGTGCCTCCCTTGCAGCCCAACCTGGGGGTTTGCGGGCCGTAGGGTCTCGGTTCTGCAGCACAGGGTCAGTGATCGTGGTGTCTGTGATCCAGGTCTCTCCGCTGTTCGGGTCTTGTACAATCACATCTGCCTTCTTCGGGTCATCCGGAGGTGAGTACATCGCATTCTCCAGGTATACCACCAGCTGCGCCTCCCTCGCCATTTTAGCCATGGCGAAGGCCAGCTGGTTGTGTGTGCGCGTCCTGTCGGGGCCTGTGCTGCAGCGGAGTAAGTGGTTGGGTAGGCTGCAGTCGGCTACGAGTTCTCCGCACTCGCACACGGTTGGTACATTCTGTCGGATGCCCATGCGGAAGGCCAGGGCCGCTCGGAACTGTCTTGGTGAGAAGCAGAGGTCCGGGGTCAAGGGTAGTGCCTGCAGCCACGCTCCCGCTCCCTCTCCTCTCAGGCTGACTAGGCGGAGTGTGTGGCCCATCTCGGGGGCTGACTGTATTGCGCGTGACTCCTCTCTTAGGGCGTCGGCCTTTGCCGCGTGCACTTCCTGGGAGAGGGCGCGCTGCAGCTGGTCCTGGGATGGGGTTTGCTGCTCCTCCCGTAGGTTTTGTAGCGCCAGCGGTGGCAGTCGCCCCTCCATGTCCTGGATGGTCACGGAGTGCGCTGCAGACGGCTGCAGGGCGTTGCTGTCGGCCCCTAGCGGCGCGGTTGCCGGTAAGTCCAGGGAGCGGAGCAGGCGCAGCGCCTCTGTTGTAGATGCCAGGTAGGCCGGTGCTGCTTCAGTTGTGGGGTCCGTAAGGCCCAGTCCGCCTAGGGCTACTGGGAGAGTTGCCTGTCGGAGAAGGAAGTTGAACTCGGCTTGTCGGCGTGGCGGTTGAATGCTGGCGGCGGTCAAGGCAGTGTTCAGTAATTCGGCGCACCATGTATGCCATTCCGAGAGCGGTAAGACGTCAGCTGGGGTAGTGCACAGCAGGTAGCCGACTCTGCGGCTGATGCAACGAGACAGTAGCAGGTAGTCGACTCTCTCTCTCTCTCTCTCTCTCTCTCTCTCTCTCTCTCTCTCTCTCTCTCTCTCTCTCTCTCTCTCTCTCTCTCGAATGGTCCTTGCATTTCTTTGAGGGGTGGTACAACGGAAGGTGCAAAACACACAAGCACAAGCTCAACAGAAAACCGGCATCCTAACTATTCCAAGTCCCCTACCTACTCAGCCCCCCCCCCTGTCCGACCCTGCTGGTCGAACGGGGCCTCAATCAACTGGTGCAGCTGTCTCTCTCTCTCTCTCTCTCTCTCTCTCTCTCTCTCTCTCTCTCTCTCTCTCTCTCTCTCTCTCTCTCTCTCTCTCTCTGCGTATGTACGCCCCGATCTGATCTAATTGTGCTTCCCAGCGCTGGTGTACCGTCACGAGCTGGGCATGAACTATGCGCGCGTGCTGCCCAATCTCATCGTCGGCTCCTGCCTGCAGGCAAGTGCCCTTGCTTGCCGCCTCTACTACTACCTCAACTCTCTTTCCCCTACCACCTTTGTTCTCCCCCCTTTCTCCCTTACTGCATGTCCTTACCCTTAACCCTCCATGTATCCTCTTTCAGCTACCTCATGGTCCTTTCTCGCCACGTTGATAATCCTTTCCACTTTACTCTCTTGGCTCCCTCGCTCGCTACCGCCTCACTAGATGTGCGTTCTTTATATTTACACAGCCCTCACTCTCTCTCTGCTCTGGACCCGCCTCATAGGAACTTCCTAGAAACCATGCCCCTCACTCTCCCTCAGCCTAGTCGCGTTATCCACACCACCCTGCCATCAATCCCCACAAGGCCTGTACCCTTTATAAGCCCTCTTTCTGCCTTTGCTGCTCTCTGTTTTATCCCGGCCACCTGGTACAGTCCCCCTTGGATCTGGACCACCTTCGGGACGTGGAGGGCGTGGGGGCGGTGCAGTGCCTGCAGCGTGACTCTGACCTCGAGTAAGCGGTGTTGAGAGGGTCCAATGGTCGGCCTTTTTTCTGGTCGACTGAAGAGACATAATCAGTCGGCCTAGAAGTTGGAATCAGTCAAGGACTTTCGTGGTCGACTCAAAAGTGAGTTTGAGTCAACGCCAACAATCATATTGAGTACATGTCATTCAGAGCAGGTAACTCACTCTGTGCAGTGCATGCGCATGTGCTATTCACAACAGGTAACTCACTCTGTGCAGTGCATGCGCATGTGCTATTCACAACAGGTAACTCACTCTGTGCAGTGCATGCGCATGTGCTATTCACAACAGGTAACTCACCCTGTGCATGAACACGTGCTATTCCCCAACAGTTACTTCGATCTGGATATCAACCCGATCATCGAGCGGGCGGCAGAGCGCGGCGACATTCGGCACTTGTGGACGGAAATCAGGTGCGTCCAGCCAGACTGGAGCAAATTGTTCGTCTACTAGCACGTGCTTCTTCGTTCCGCCCCTCGTTCTCCACACCACACTGCACTCTCCGTTTAGCCCTTTTCTCAACCTGACCATCTCCCCCTCTCCCTGGGAGTTTGATTCGACCCCTTTGTCCTGCGCATGCAGCTGCCAAGGGCTGTTCCACGCCACAGCACTGCATCTTGGCTGTCCCATCTTCCCATCTCGTTCCTCCTTCCCTTTCTTCTCTCTGTCACTTGAACCATCCCAACCTTCCCACCCGCCCCGTTCTCCCAGGGACTTTGACCCCTTTGATCTGCGCATGCAGCTGCCAAGGGCTGTAGCAGCGCTGCACAAGGCAGTGATGGAGTGTGGAACTGCGTATGTGCACTGCACTGCCGGCCTCGGCAGGGCCCCGGCTGTAGCGGTGAGGCTTGGCTCTAGCGGTGAGTCCCAGCTTTAGTGGTGACTCCTAGCTGTAGTGTGAGTATCGTCAGTGGCTGTAGCAGCGCTACACAAGGCAGTGATGGAGTGTGGCACGGCATATGTGCACTGCACTGCTGGCCTTGGCAGGGCTCCGGCTGTAGCGGTGAGTCCCGGCTGTAGCGATGAGTACTGGTTGTAGCACGAGCCTAGCCTCAGCTAAGGTACCCTCTATCTTACCGCCGTCAAGCTTTCTAACCTTCGAGCAGTTTGTTATCATTGCCATCTCACCTCACAATTTCTGCCTCTCCGCCCTCTCCGCCCTATCCTCTTCTCTGCCCTGCCCCTCACCCCCCTTTCTGCTCCTCTCCCCATCTATGCTCCTCTCCCCCTTTTCTGCTCCTTATCCGTCTTCACTCCTCTTCACCCCTCTCCACCCCTGTCCACGCCTGCCCCACTCCAATCCTCACAGCTTGCCTATATGTGGTGGATGCGCGACCTTCAACTGGAAGAGGCAAATGAAATCCTGCAGGTATGTGGGGCAGATGGGGGATTGGTGGTGGTGAGGAGGTGGTGGAGGAGAGGAGGAGAATCGACAGGGTTAGGGGATATAGCATCGAGCAATGAGGGTGGGAAGAGACATGTTGGCTAAAAGATTGTCAGATCAGATGTGAGTCCTTCAAACTTTCCATCTTCAAGTTTCGTTATGTCCTCCCGTGGTTATTCACGATCATTAATGTTTATCTATGTCGATACAATGTTTCTGTGTGTGTGATTGCGCGCACAGAAAGTCCGTCCATGTGGGCCCAAGCTGTTTGCCATCCGAGCAGCTGCATGCGATCTGGTAAGTCACCCACGCCTCTCCTCGCCATAAGCAACATGCATTCAAAGACAACACAGGCAATGTTATAAGGAACACATGCCTCATTCGTCAATGTATCTCGTACGATTGCCAACTAACCATCTTGAAGCATGGAGGGGGGCATCATGCATCAACTCCTCTTGGATCAACTTCGATCGATCACCATGGCAAAATCGAGAAATGAAATGGCGCCCCCTTTTTGAATTGGCTTCTCAACTGCCCACAATGTTTCTCTCTCATCCTTGATTGGCCATCCCTCGTCTCAGCTAACGGGCAATCCCCTGGAGCAAGTGGAGATCAACTGGAGGAACCGAGGAGTCAATGAGACCGTGGAGGTGGCGGGGCTGGATGTCGGCTGGCACCATGTGAGTGGCTGGTAATTTTTCCACGTGGCACCATGTGAGTGGCTGGTGATTTTTCCACGTGGCACCATGTGAGTGGCTGGTGATTTTTCCACGTGGCACCATGTGATTGGCTGGTGATTTTTCCACATGGCATCATATGAGTTGCTGGTGATTTTTCCACATGGCACCCTGTGAGTGGATAGTGATATTTTTGTCATGTGACCCTATGTGATTGGCCGGTGGCTGCCTTGTGCCATGTGCTGGCATGCCGGTGGCTGGCATTGTGCCGTGCTGTGGTATGTGGCCAGAAGAATCATTGTACACATGGTGTGATGTTGGCGAACGGCGGATATGGCAATTTCCACTGGTGACCCTTTTGTCCATCTGTAACCCCTTCCCCTCTGGAGCTTATCAATCTTGTGACTTCGTTTTCACAATGTCATGCTTTTTTTTTTCCCTTCCTTCGTCTCTCAACCACACTATTTTTCCCTTCAAACCCCCACCCCACTACGTCCGCTCCCAGCGCCTGCCATTGACTCGTGAGCCGGCGTCCAACACATGGACACTCACAAGAGAGCTGCCGGTGCGTTTTAAATTCAGTTTGGTGTCACTTGCGTGTATATTCCAGCTTCAGCTGCTTGGGTGCTGCATTTAACGCATATGTGTGTTTGGATTCGGCCAATAAGAGGTGGCAGTAGCCGCTTATTGATACGTGGAAACGTTTCAACACTGCTTCTCGTGTGCAACGCTGTGTGTAGTTTTGTTTTTTACTTCTGTTCTGAGGTTTGCAGATCGGCACATACTATTACAAGCATATCGTGAACGGCACACACTGGTCATACAACCCCGATGCGCCTCTCACTCCACCCGATCGTGACTACAATGTCAACAACTACATCGAGGTATGGGGCTGTCCTTTCAGGAACCGTCTCATGGATTGAAAATGTCTCACAGGTGTTTTCTACTGTAATTTGCCTTTGTTTTGTGATCATATGGTTCCATGCCCAAGTTTGCAACAACTGAGCACACCGCTGACCATTCTCGCACCCTGTTTGTAATTTTTCATCGGTAACAGGTCGTGGGCTCTTCGCTTGACCCAGCAGCACGTGACCTGCGGAAGAGGATTATGCAGGAAGGGGCTCCTCTAACCCAAGAAGATAGAGCAGCAGTGGTTGCCAAGATTATTGAGATCGCAGGGACTTGGTAGGTGGTTGAAAGGTCAGTCTCCTTTGAGTACACCGTGGTCACACCTACGTTTGGAGTTATGATTTTGCTAGTGCGATGTTACTTTGCCACAGTTCCCATTGCCCCAATAATAATGATCCACAACAAATCAGACAAGCATCCCATCCCATTAGTAACTGCAGAATCCAGATGCACTGTGCAAAACATAATGATGGCCTTCAGCAGTAAGAGCAGCTGGAATAAAAGTCTACAACTCAGAACTACGTCAGCTAAACACTAGCATGCAACGGGTTAACGCGTGGCAGCTCATGAAGCAGCAACTACAGCAATGCTGCAGTGCAGATGTATCTGTGCTCTACTCTTCATCATCAGTGATTGTATCAAACGAGAATGGTAGGAACTTGTATCCATCGCCAGTGTAGAACTTGTTCATGAACTCGACCCAGTGCAGACGGAGTGCGTGGAGGAAGGCACTGAGAGTCTCCATGAGTAGAAGCACACCAACGGTTGCTGATGCAAAAACAAAGAAGCCAATGATAATGAAGATGATGTTTCCAGACCTGCAAGAATACGGAACGTCAAGATGAGACTGAGGTGTTTTGCCAAGCAAACTACGAGAAAGAGAAGCAAGGCGCAGATGTGATTCGGACAAGTGGACAGAATGGCAACTTACTCAAATGCTGGAAGCAGCACTCGCTCAAAGAAGACAGCCGAAAGCTCCGCATGCGCCAAGCTGTTTCCATAGGTGCAGGTGACAAAAAAAACAAGAGTCATTGATCGGGGAATCAGGTGAAAGGAGCCCCAAAGTCCAACCAACATAATGTAAACGTCTGAGATGACTTCAGAAAAAGCAAACATGTCCAAAAGGGTGGATGAAAAGCACACCTGAGAGCCCACAGACGCAGGTAGGAGGCTGTATTGGAGACGGCGCCCAGCACAAACTCAATTGTGTGAATCATCTGATGCACCATCACCTCCCCGAAGTCAAACTCCTCCTCATGATGATGATGGTGCAATTGGCCCTCCTCCCCTGGGTGCAACGCCTCCATCTCATACAGTTCATTGTCTGAGTTCAGTGCTGCGTACGCTCGACCCTGACGCTTCTGTGTGTAGGGCACGGATGCAGGGTGAGTATGACATGATGGGGGAAGGAGGGAGAGGGAAGACAAGAAAGTCAGGAAAGCGAAATCCAGGCATTGACTTGCTTCGTAAGGACATAGTGATGGGAGAAGCAAAAGAATACTGTAGCTTTCATAAATGTGTGTTGCAAGTGAAGAGGTCAGGTGAGACGAACAGCAGCTTTAGCAGCTCACTCACCTTTAGGTGCTCAGCACGTAAAATCAGAGGTTTTGGAAAAAGCATCCATGGAACCGAGATGAGAGCAATAAGCAGCAAAACGATCTGCAAAGAAAACAACGAATGCGCAAGAGGCGCAATAATTAATAAAATATATTCTGAATGTAAAATGTCAACTTGCTATGCCAAGAGAAGTAATCTGACCAGACCTGAAAATCGGTGAACTGACCTGAAGTGTTCCTTGCCCCCAAAAGAGCTCGTTCTCTCCCAGTGGCTCAGTGGGGTTAAGGAACATGTAGATCATGACATGGTAGAGATCAGCTTGGGAGGCTGTGATCCACTTGACTATGATCAGCAGTGAGAGATAGCCAAACAAAGAAGCCAAGAATAGAACCTGTGGGATGAACTCGTACCTACAAGTGGTGAGGAGACACAGATGCATGAAGATGGATGAGAGTGAAGGCACAGGAATAAGGAAAAACCAACGGAAATGGGCATGCACAGAAGCAGGACAAGACTCGTTTGAAACATAATGAGCTCGGAAAGTGTGTGAAGCACCCACCAAATGTTGAGTGGCAGGTCAAAGAAGAGGGCGTTGCAGAGGCTGAGAGCAAGGCCCAGAAACATGTGAGTGACTCCCAGCACAATGCTCATCTTCATCTTGAGTGAGTTCAAGAAGGGCAGCTCTGTGCGAGAGCCCTTCCACCGAGGGTCCACTCCAAACAGGTACGTGTTGCCTGTCTTCACTAAACCAGCAGAGGCTGCATCACTGAGAAAATTGGAAGGGGAAGTGAGGAAAGGAAAATGGTGGGGAGAGAACGAAGGAGGGTGGACAAGAATTTTGAGGGGCACAGAAAAAGATGAAGAGGAGTGGAGAGTAAGTCAGGCACCATGAGTAAAAATCGAGGCGTGCCATGGCAGAAGTCAAGAAAAAGAAAGAAATTATTCGAACCGCAGGAAAGAATTGCCAAGAGAAAATATGGGTGACTGTACCCGCAGTCTGGGGTGCGACAAGTGTATGCCGAGCCACCAAATATGGCAAAATCGAAGGCGACAGCGAAGAACTCGTTGTAAACGAAGCCAGTGTAGATGGAGAAAATAGACATAAGCAGGATGAGGTAGCGGCCTCCATAAACCATCTCCATGATGTCACCAAGTTTCTGCAGCATAGATTTCAAATTTGGTGAACAGGTAAAGAAATTTGTGAACATGGCCCATGTCATTGTCAGGTAGGTTTGGACAAACATGTAAACGAATCTCCAAAAATCACCTGGGAGCCCAACTTTCTCTCGTTCTTGACAAGCCAAAGGGATGCAAGGAGCATCAGGATGCCATGACCCCAGTCACCAAACATGACAGCAAAGAGGAACGGAAAGGTGATGATGGTGAAAACCCCAGGGTTGGCTTCCCGGTATCGTGCCATGCTGCCACAACAGAAAAAAGTGGATGAAGCAAAAAATGCAAGCAGTGCTCCTAGTAATGACTTCCACAAATCAGGGTCTTCATGTTTGAATTTTAAAATACTCACCCGTAAGCATCGATGATCCCTTGGAAAGCACCAGTGAACTTGTTGGTCTTGAAGTATGTTGGAGGGGACTCGCCAGACCGAATCGTCTGAAAGATAGTACCCACATCTGCCTTGCTCATGGTCACTGCACGATGAAGAGCATCTTGAATCTGCAAATTGTCATGCAACCCAGTTTTGGCATAAACAATTTTATGGAATGACATGTCGTTCTCCTCAACGCTCTCAAATCCAAATCATGATCAGCCATCTAGCAATGCTCATCATCAGCATACCTCTGACTTTGCATACACGGGACACCATGCCTCAGCCAAAAGGCACTTGCGAGTGACATCGATGGACAGCTGGTTCAATATGTGGTAGATAGCCTTTTCCCTCCGAACCTGTTGATGCATTATCAACGCTTTGTGTCAGGTCCAAACAAGAGAAGAAACAGGATCAATGATGCGCAGTTAATAGTGCTGGGGAGAAACAGCACTGCTAGGATTCTGTACCAGGCTTGCCCAGTTTTCGATCTGGTAGCTTATGTTGTTCAGCAAACTGTCTCTGTGTCTGTTGCCTGCATCAATGGTGGTCTGCAACTCTGATAACCGTGCAATCACCTGCCATTCAAAAAGGCCATTCGTTCAGACTATGACTACGAGAGGGACCACGAGTGGATGAACAAGAAAAAACTGGCGGACAGAAGCTCACCTCAGAATGCATTTGCCTTTGTTTCTGTGGGTCCTCTGGAAACGGGTAACGATTTGCACCGAATGCCTCACAGATTTTCATGATCTTGGTGCGAGCTCGCTCACCGGCAAAGAACACAACGAAGACAACCTTCTCCACCTGCAAACAGAAGACACATGTTAATGCCAGCAGTACCTGAAAGACTGATCTCAGCATACGGAAGAAAACTCATACCTCTTCTCCTGTTGCAGGATCCACTACTGGCTCGTCAAGCTCCTCCTGCTTAAGGTACATGTTCCCACGAGTTGCTCGAAACAGAATTCTCTCAAATGTTGCAGCCTTGACCTTTGGGACAAGCCCTGTAACGAATCCAAGACGCATCTGCTTGCCAGGTTCTGAGACCATCTCCTGCAAGGAAAATCAAAGTCATGCATACTTGCATATCAGAGCTTCTGCGAGAATGATATAGGCTACCTGTGGAAGGGACTGCTCAAGTGAATTCGTGTGACCAGTTTCATGTACCACCTGCTCCAATAGCAACGCAGTGTCAGAGGTTATTTCCCGGCCGGAGCTTGCTTCTTCAAACTCCCTCTGGTGAACAGCAGCATCCATCTGTTCCAAACAAGAAGAACGGTTAGCATGGCAAGGTTTGACAAACTCAAGGTCAGAGCAAAAAGACATACACCAGCGTGATCAGTTCCAGGTAAAAACGAAACTATTAACCTTTTCTAGGACGAGCTGCAATTCATTCAGCTCATTCCGGCTTCGTAGAAGCTTCTCAGCGTTAGCATTGATCTCCAGTAACTCCGCTTCCAGCTCCGCCAATTTGACCTGCATAGAAGGCCATCACAAGATATGAAGCTAACAGAGGGAATGGATCGACAATCCCGCGATCCTAGCCATTGTCAGTAATTTGTTGCATCGACGCGTCATGATTGCGCAGTCATACGCCCATATGCAGTTTAGGTAATAATACCTCCAAGTCGTCTAGGTCAAAATCCTTGTCCAATGGTGCTGGACTACTTGGTAGAATTCCAGCCTTCACGGACTGATCCTTGAAATAACGAAGCTTTCGTGCCATTTCCCCGCATCGCTTAACCTGTACGCCGTCATTGACGCATAAAGAGACGGTAAGAGTACTACATGGTTGATCTCGTTCACAACGTGCAGCGTAATCCGCGGTCCAAAGGAGTTTCACAAGAACCATGGCGGGAGATACTGCAATCGGAAAGCGTTTAAATTACTCTACCTGATTTGCATAGGTTCGCTGAAATGGGCTTTTGTCCGGATTTAACTGCATAATGGCAAATTTGGAGAGGATTAAGGTCAAATGTTACAGTCGAATTCCATGAATATTGGAAACGGAACCCCATCAATCGAGCAACGGCTTCAATTCAATAGTTATGCAGATACCTACATCCTTGAACTGCAGTAGACCGAGTTCCCCAAGATGAGCGACGGTGTTATGTGCAGCTTCGGCAGGAATGATTAGCTGCACTAACTGCATCTCCTCGGACCTGAAAAGGTCCATCGGTGTGTCTGGAAACATGGCTACGCTTAAAAAACGCCGGAGCCTACACCACAGTAGCCAAATCTTCCTTCTAAGCTTGAACCTGAATTTCGACACGATGACAAGCTCGAAGCCTCTAGAGGCCTACACACAATTCACCAAACGGCATTGCGAGCAGAACTCTCCTATCAGTTCGTCAAGCACCAGCAACTAGCCGTTTCAGCAGCAGCCAGTGACCAAGTAGCTTGAATCAGGATGAAATCTAGGTCAGACCTGATGAAACCAGGGAGGAAAGGTTGTAGGTGAGAAGTTGGTTTGCTGCTGTGAAGCTCGGAGATTTGGTAGACAAATACATTCCTCGGTTTTGAGCGGTCGCGGCGAAGCAGAGCCAAGCAAATGACACCGCCTCCAAGCCACGGAAATGGTTTCAGGTGAACGACAGAACTCTTCGCTCAACAATTTGAACGAAACCGCCACGCCAGCAGGAAGACGGTTCACTCCTCAAAGGCTTGGCGAATGGAGAGAGAGTTGTGATGCATAGCGACTTTCGCTTGGCCATTTGCGAACACGAGGCATGAAAGTGACGTGGGCGGACCAATTACAAGCCGAATATTGCATCCCCCAATGTAACGATTGTAGGAACCACCAATAATATTCAAATCAGAATAAGCAAACATTTGACTTGATACTAGCTGAAGCATTTAAGACATAGCCATGTTCATGGCTTTTTGGCACACTACACAATGCAATTGTTCGTCACCATCCCCTCCCTCTACCGTCGATTCCTCTCGCTCGGGCCAAACCTTAGGCTTATCCAGCCTTCGATCCAAGAAGCTGCTTCCAGGGCCACTATTCAGTTCTGCTGCCGAACCTTTATTTGAACCTCTGGTTCCAGCCTTCTCAGTGCTGTCCATAGGCTTCTGAGTAAGTCGTGCATTATTCCCTTCCATCTTAGCCCCTCCTGTTTCACCACCACTCCCCCTTCCTCCCAGCTTCAATGCTACCTCCAAACATGGCACATGGTATGCATGCGTGCAGAAAAAACACACAATTTCCTGCTGGTGCAGATGCAGTGCATCTAGACACAGGCAGCACCGGGGAGGACCCCCACCCAGCAGCTCCTGTTTCTCAACCTCCCTCCTCTTCAACTTGTTACCCTGCACCTCTTGCCTTCCCTCCAACCTCACAACTCCCCCTCTCTGTGCATCAAACTCACCCATGCCTTCCTCTTTCCCTCTTGGCATTTCACTTCCTGCTCGTCTCAGCCCGTCCTTGCTCCCCACAATCCCCCCTCTCTCTCCCTCAAACACCTCGCTCCAGGCTCTAAGCAGTCCTCCTCTACCTCTCTCCCCCACCCCCCCGTGCCCCACGTCAACCTGGTTACCACCTGTTCTGCTATCACCCCTGTAACCTTCACCAGCCTCGACAGCAATGGTAGCTATTTTCAGCCCTCCAGATGCAGGGAAGAGTGGGGCAGACGACCACTGCTCACTCCACATAACCTCATCCTCCTCTTCCTCCCCATCACTCTCTCCCTCCTCATCCTCATCCTCTTCCTCTTCCTCTAATTGAGATATGGAGGGAAGAAAACTGTCAGAACCAACAGCTCCTGGCAATCCATTCGATCTCTCACCACCTCCTCCTCTTCTCCCATCTCTCCCCTCCAATCCTCCTCTTCCTTCCATCCCTCCATACTCACCAACTTCCCCCATCTCCAGCTGTCGAAACGCCAAAGCCACAGCTCTCGCCTCCTCTTTCTCCTTCCTCCTCCTCTCCCTCTCCTCCCTCTCCCCAGTTGCCTGCTTTCCCTCCTCCTGTCCAGCCCTCCCCACCAGATCACTCTCATCACCCTCGTTACCCTTGCCAGCAGACGTTCCGATAAATGTCTTCCTTCGAAACGGCTTGCGGGAGTACAGACTGAGTAGGGAAGTCCCAGCAGCTCCACCAGGAAAGAACCCAGAGGTGGCCTGAGGGGAAGCATATGGAGAGAGCAGAGTGCTGGTTGCTGCTGTCATAGTGGAAGATGGCAGTGGGAGAAGGGGGAGGTGGGGTGGTGCAGTGGAGGAGGAGGAGGAGAAGCGGGCAGCGAACTGCGATTGGAGGATGAAGAGGCAGAGGAGGTCGATGCACTCGGATTGCAAGAGAGCAATGCAGCCCTGACGAAGGGACACCTCTGTTGCTGACGCTGCCAGCACTGCCAGCAGATGCTGCCGCAACCTGTTGATTACACAGGAGGGACAGGAGTATAACAAGAGGATGAAGGGGGAGAGGAGGACTGTTGCATGCATGGCAATGCAATCTTGGCTCTTGCTCTGTTGCTCCGTAGAGATACCTCTGTTGCTGACGTCGCTACCAGCATTGCCAGACTGAAGAAAACGTGAAGTGCTCAACGTACTCTTTTAGGTAAGTGTTTGGTGCGACTCCAGCAAGCAGCTGCTTGGGAGAGAAGATGTCTGATGCTTGCTCCATGAGTGCTGCCACCTGGGAGAAAGAGAGCAGCACGGTTCAGGAATTAAACAGAACGTGCTAGAAGATGGAACAAGGATGAACGATTGGATCCATATTGTTTGAAGCACGGCTACAAATTACCACGATAAAAAACGGGGATTTTGCAGAGTTGGACAGGTTCTGGGACGTATAGGCATACCAAGCGAGGATTTGTAGCAGATCGTTTCAGGAGGAAATTCCACACGTACTGTTCTTTCACCTCTCTGGCCAGTATTATTGCCTGGTAGACGCAAGGTGAGGAGACGATTCAGGAAGAAAGGGAGAAACTGTGGAAGTGGTAGTGCCAGTGGCAACACATTTCAAGTGGCTTGAGTCAGCCTAGCAGGAGCGATAGTGCTTCATTACAACAACCGAGGCAGGTGTGCTGGTGAGGGGAGGGAGGCAAGCGAGGGGAGGCAAGCAAGCGGAGGGAGAGAGGCAGGAGCAACTCACCCGGTTCACATCCTTGAGTCGGTCCAGCAGGAGTGATAGTGCTTCTTTGTAATCATTCATGCGGGTGGGCAGAAACAAGGGTGCTGGCAAGGGGAGATAAGCAAGCGATGGGAGGAAGGCAGGAGCAGCTCACCCTGTTCACGTCCTTGAGTCGGTCCAGCAGGAGTGATAGTGCTTCTTCGTAATCATTCATGCGGGTGGGCAGAAACAAGGGTGCTGGCAAGGGGAGATAAGCAAGCGATGGGAGGAAGGCAGGAGCAGCTCACCCGGTTCACGTCCTTGAGTCGGTCCAGCAGGAGTGATAGTGCTTCTTCGTAATCATTCATGCAGGTGGGCAGAAACAAGGGTGCTGGCAAGGGGAGATAAGCAAGCGATGGGAGGAAGGCAGGAGCAGCTCACCCGGTTCACGTCCTTGAGTCGGTCCAGCAGGAGTGATAGCGCTTCTTTGTAATCCCCCATGCGGGTGAGCAGAAACACCTGCTCTTCCACCAGGCCCCTTTGCATGCACAGGTTTAGAGCCTGGAGGAGGGGACAGGGAGGAGCTGGTTTTGAATTTGCTGATATGGGATGAGCAGAAGCACATGACTCGCCACTAGCCCCATCCAGTGGACTGAAAGGGAGCGGCTGAGGGAACAGTAGCAACCAAGCAGAAAGGAGGTCAGACTGATAGAGGTTAGCAACCTATGTCCTGTCACTCATGCCTGGTACGGGATAACACTCGTGCCACTCATGAAAGCACAGAAGATGACAGTGTGTGCCACTCACGCAGTGACTTAGACTACATTCTGTGTCGCTCACAACTTGCAGTCACTCACATCTTGCAGGGGGTAGTAGTCGGATGACTGCAGAAAGGGCAGCAGCAGGCGGCGGTCGAAGTCTGCATACAGCTCAACCTGCAGATGGTTGGGAAGAGCAGGACGAGATAGCAACTTAGCAACCAAGAAACGTCTTATACATATGTGTGATACCTGAAAAAAAGAAGGCAGTGAAAGGCAGTGTGTCTTCTTGAGAGAGGAGTGTCCTCCAGCATTTACTAGAGAAACTCATGGTAGCAGTGAAGGCTGGAGAGAGCAAGCCTCCTGGAGAAGCAATAACTTCCAAACAGACCTGCATGGGATGAAACGTTGATGCCACCTCTGGCATTCGCTCGAACACCTCATGCAGGTAGCAGTGCAGCGCCATGCGCCTCTCTCTCCCCGTCAGCACCACTTCACTCCCTTCCCCATCACCAGCCCCATTTACTGCTCCGTCCACCAGCGTCGCCGAACCGCGCGGCGACAGCTGGCGCGCAGCAACCGGCTCGGGCGGCCCCAGCATGGCCGGCGAATCGACGCCCAGCAGCTGGCGGACGACGGTTTCAGGCGGCGCGACGGCGATGTGGTCGGCGAGGAGGGCGGCGGCGCGGTGTGGGTGGATGAGGAAGAGGGAGGGGAGGCGGTGGTGGTGGTGGGGGGCGGCAGAGAGGAGGTGGCGCACGAGCCGGTGCTCGCGAATAAACTCAAACAAATCCGGCCCTGGCCATTTTGCACTTGTTAGTGACTCGTTAGGGAATGAGACATTTGATTCTTGCGCTGGGTATCGGCGGTGGTCTTCCGAGGATGGACAGGCAGCCCTTCTATTGATGCCGTCTTTGTGAGATGTCTCACTGCCTGCTGCGTCTTTGCCTGCTATATTGCCGTTAACAGGTGATTTCACTGGTGAATGCAACTGTTCTCCATCCACGTCAGCATGGCTTGTCACTCGCCCTTGAGAATCCCCATTCACATCAGCAGAAGCAGCAGGAGCCTGAGCAAGATTAGCCATGCGCCCGTGGGAATCTGTTAGGCCAGCAGCAGCACTCGAGTTACTGTGGTGTGCCCTGTGCTGTGCCACCAGAATCCGCAGATAGACATCGAGAGCCTCGATGAAATCCCTGTTGCGCACATAGAGACCCGCCAGGAGCTGATGGGGGGAGTGGGAGGAAGAATGGGATCAAAGGATTGGGATCGGCGGTGCCATGCTGCAACAGGCGCCCTTCAGTGGCAGCAATGACGGCCCCCAGGTTGTAGAGAGAAGACGGCCAGCGAGCCACAGTGGGGAGAAAATAAGGGATCGATGGGTGATACAGTGAGTGCGCCCACACACCCACCCACACACCCACCCACCCACCTGCAGCTGGATGGCACTGCCATGCTGCAGCAGGCGCTTCTCCGCGGCAACAATGACGGCGCCCAGGTTGTAGAGGGCAGGCGGCCAGCGGGCTAATGTGGGCGGCAGCTGGCGGTGGTACAAGGAGTGCGGGGAAACAAGCAGTTCCACTAGCACGCCCTGCGCGGGGGCAAAGGAGAGAAAAGGGGAGAGATGGAGAGAGTATGTGAAACAAAAGTTGCGCCACAACACTATGAAGTTGGGCATGATGATCACACATAAAGTTGGAGAATTACCGTGTGAGACAGTGCGAAACGCAATGAGGTGGATCCGTTTTTACCTCGTAAGTGGAGGGACTGAGCTTAGGGTTCGAGACAGGGACGTAGGGCAGCAGCGTATGCAGCTGCTGCAGCCGAGAGAAGTTGCCAATCCACCTGGTGGAAGGGACGAACAAGGCATCACAATCGCCAGATGAGGGGACAGACGGACAGCAAACAATAGCCGGCGGCATGGGTGACTATGATTAGTATCTATGGTACAGTAACCGGGTCTAGCCTACTGGGATTTCCACATTACAATGATATTCCCATACTGGTCACAGCCTGAGGGACCTTCCACCATCGCCTTCCCTGCTGTGTCTCTCACCATTGCCATGCAGTTTCGGAGTTCCCGAGGGCCGAGGGGCACAGCGCAGCAGCCTCTGCGAAGCGACCATGCATGAGAAGGTGGTCCAGGTGCCGCTCACTTCCCTGCCACGTGGCGGACGACAAGAGGTTGGTGTGGAAGGAGAAACATTGGAAGGATGGCTGGTGAAAAACGGCATTTCTGGTGATGAAAATGCATGTGCCTGATCAGGTCATACGTCATTTGTTGGCTGAAAAGTTAAGCTGGAATGCTCAGGCATCTGAGGTCACAGAGCCTCGTTCGTGCCACAACACAACAATTTTGACCCCTGTGGCACCAACGATGTAGTTATGCAATGGCAACGAATGTTCAACTCATGGATGAACACAGACGGTCGCTGAACGCTGGAAATGAAAAAGGAACAAAAATAGAAACAAGGAACTCTTTTGACTACCATCATCGCGAAAGGAAAAGGCGTACCAGGAACCTCTGAAGCAACTCCATCGCTCCTGGTGACTTTACCAAAAGAACAGAAATTGCTTCCAAGGAGCGGAATTAGACGGCTTGACGCGACGCATGGATCACTTTAACTCAATATATCGTCACTGTTGCTGGCTCAGACCCATTTTCAGGGATGCCGACTCTAGCTGCATGTTCCCCTCGCGTCGACAGAAATCACAGCAAACGGACGATCAGAATGGTCGTTGATCATACTTCGGACGAGTTTCAATTACGATGGATACATCAGAGAATAACTAGCAGGCCTGCACGTGGGTGACCTACATGCAGCCGCGTCGCCGCCAGCCTTCATAGGTTCCTGATGCGTACTAAGGGCGGGTCCAACTTTGCACACTCCCGTTTTTTTCGTTATTTTTACGTCAATGCACTACTCAAAATTGACTGTACCCCAGGGTGAACTCCAAACATTTCCTGTCCAGTTCCGAGTGCACAAGTCGGACTTTTGACAAGGTACAGTGACGCTGCGGGGTACAGTCCCTGGGATGAGGGGTTACCCAATAAAGCGAGGTTTTCGCAACTGTGACAGGAGATTTATTGGCGACAACAAATTAGCGAAAATAGGTGTTACTTTTTGGCGTGTTTGAAGCGAAACGAGTTTGACGTGAACCTTCGGACGCGTTCTGCACGTCCCCGGGCACGTTTCCGTAATGTCATCATACATGTACAGTCTCGCGTCAAATGGATTCTAGTACGTTTGCAGTTCTGTTACATGCGGTAATGTGGTAACTGAGCTGAAAAATTATCGTACATGTGCAAAGTTGGACCCGCCCTAAGTAAGTTGAGTGAAGAATTGAGGGAATGCGACGATAGTGGTCAAGAGACAAAGAGAAATAGTTTGTGTGTGAGTGTTCTAGTTACACAATTCTGCTTACAGTTTCTTCTATGTTATAGAAGCATTGCTAGAGATTTTTGATAATTTTTACACCATGATGCTTCTAGGATCATCACAATGATTTAGTCGATATGTATGGTTCATTATAGAGGTTTCTTAAGATATTGAAGCAAGATTCCCGGAATTCTTGCGTGGTACCGTATTAGGGGAAAAAAGGTGACCTAAGACAAGGTTGGGTGAAACATGAGACAGCAAAGATGGGGCAAACAGGAGACAGTAGGCGGAAGGGAGGCAAGAGGCAAGAGACAGGGCATGGGATACGGGGGAGGTGAAATACAAGAGGATCTAGGAGTAGGGGGAGATGCAGATGTATCATTAAGTGGTCCGATCATGCATGATTGATTGGTCATACTCTGCAAAGCATAGCCATGCAAAGTTTGACTTGAGTGTGTTTACCAAACTTCAACAATGTGCTTCTGGCAAGCTTCCCTCCCCTATTAGCTAAGGGTTTCCCAAGACGGGTTCTAGCCAATTTCAGCAGCTGCTCCAGCAGCTTGGGTTGTCATGTCCACACCTTGTGGCCATGCATGCAAGCAAGAGATTCTACGCGTGAAGGAAATATGGAAACAGGCCTAAGTCACCACTAAATTTAGAGGAGGTTACCAGGCCAAAAGCATTTCAGATTCAGATTGGAAATTTCCTGATGCGAGCCCAGCCAGGCGTCTAGAAGTCGATGCATCTGCCACCCTTCTCCCAGTCCCCGTATCTCGTCGGCTCGGGACCGCTTGGCCCTCCATATTCCCCCACAGACTCGGGCGGGGGACGCTGCTTACACCCGCCATCCACAGCGTTCGCCGCTTCCCCGCCGCCATCTGCGTCTGATCGTATCGGCTCCCCGTCGGGTGCACTCCGCGCCCTGTTCGGCGCGCGATCCGTTTCGCGCCGCGCTAAAATCGGGTCGTCCTCCTCATCGCCGCTTTCGCAAGCCGCCAGCGGAGCGCTGCGCGCGCCGTCCGATCCTTCCGCCGGGGTGGCGCTAGAGGCGTCGGCGGAAAGATGCTGCGGCGGAGCGGAGTCGATGCGCTGACTGGCGGAAGAGAAGGCGGGGACAGGAGCTTGGATTGCGCAGAGCAGATCCGCGACTGCAAAAGACTCGACGCGGAATCGCGACGCTGCGGGGTTCAAGCCGGTTGGGGGGAGCGCGAGATGGCGGGAAGTGCGTGCGGTGGGTGCGCCGAGAAGCGCCGGCGCGCACGGCGACGACTCTACCGTTGCCCTATCTGACAGCGACGCGACGGCCGTTAAACATGTAGGCCTGGCGGAAGCTAGATTCGCGGCACGGTGCGGCACGCATCCCGCGTGGGAAGGCGCGGGGAGGAACGATGCAAGGAGGCGCGCGCAACGTCTAGTCGCAGCCATGAGCGCGGTTCTAACGAGGAATCGCTGGTATAGTGAGTAGCTGGGAGGAAGAACGTGGAATGGGATGCTCACTACCAGGCCAGTGACGTCGATGGGAGGGAGCAAATGATCGGCTCGCTTCAGGGATTACCCGGTATGGGACGACTTGGGTAGGGTTGGTCCTACTACACTTGCTTGAGGACGTGTAATATTCCATCCTGCTTACGAGTGCCAGGAATTCTGAGAGCCAAATTTTTGAGTGGTACAAAACTTCCTAAGGCGATGTCAAAAAATAATAAATACAGCCACTGATTGATCCCTCCATACCATGAAGAAAAAGTGGGTGAACAGGCGAATAAATACATACACGGAGCTTTGCCCCGGTCCCTCCGTCTTTGGCAATGACTGCTGGACCATCGGTGTGACTTTATTAGCGCCGCCATCTCTCTGCGCGAAAGCACCGTAGGAAAAACCCATGCGTGCACAGCTCAAACTAATTAGTTGCACGGGGCATCATGGGAACGATAGGTACCCATGTGCAGACAGCCAGAGGGGGTTAGTTGTATGGGGAGAGACTTGGGTTAGTGTTAGAACTAAGCAGCAGCAGCAGCGAGGTGGCAGCAGCAGTAGCAGCAGCAACAGTGCGTCATCAGCTGCCCCGGTGGAACGGCAGCAGGCAAGACAGACCCCCTCCTGCACCTCTCCTAGGAGCCAACCCCAGCCTCGCCTCCAGCTCAGCCAGTCTCTTCCTCTTCCCCTCCATCTTCTTCCCCACACCCGCCCCTTTACTCTCCAACGCAGCCATTCGTGCCACAATCCTCTCAGCCCGCTCCACCAGACTCTGCCCCTCCACCACCTCCTCCTCCACCTCTGCAAGCATCTCCCCCACTGCTCCCGCTTCCGCCTTCCTCCCCGCCTTCCCTCTCCGCCCCTGACCCCCCGCTGCCCTCTGCTGCGCCTCTGCAGCCAGAGCTGCTCGCTCTCTCACTCCCCGCATGGCGATTCGCAGCGCGTCCCGGTTCGCCTGGAGTTCTTTGAGTCCAACTGCTGCCCGTGCCTGCAGGGCTCCGCTGCTAGCAATAGGGGTGGCGCCGGAGAGAAGCAGATGGCTGTCGGAGCGATCTGTGGTTGAGGATGCACACGACTCGCCTCTATCTCCTCTCTCCCCTCTCCCTCTCCGCTTCGTGCTCCCCCGCTGCTTCCTCCCCGTCATCTCTGCAATCTCGTCGCCTTCCTCCTTCAACTCCTCCTCGTCACTCTGCCCCTCCTCCTCGCCTCTCCCCACACCACCCTGCGTTCTACTCCCAACGGCTTCACTAGTGCTTGCACCACCAGCGCCCGAAGAAGAAATCTCAGCAGCACCTCCCTTCCCTCCACCAGCAGAAGACGTTTCAGCAGCACCAGCAGCACCACCACCAGCAACAGTGGCAGTCGCAGCAGCGGCGGCAGCGGCAGCAGCAGAGGCAGCAGCAGCTTGCCGTTGCTCCATCAGCTGAGCCTCCATCTCTCGCAGCCTCGTCTCAGCCCGCCTAGCCCTGTCCATGGCCATCTCCATCGCCCTATCCTTCACCTCCACCACCTTTCTAGTCAGCTCCAGGCATACTCTCAGCTGCATGATTCGTCTCCGCATCTTCTCATAATTCCCCACGAGCTTCCGCGACTTCCCCACCTGCTCCTGCAGCCGCGCTACCTCCTCTGCCAGCCGCTCATTCTCCTCCTGCAACAAAGCGAACTCCGCCTCCTCCTCTTCTCTCTCCAAATCCTCGTCTCCTGCACCTCCCGCTGTGTAGTAGAGGGAAGCGATTTCCTTAGCCGCCCGCCACGCGCCGCTGCGAGGGACGGGCACTGAGAAGGAAAACTCCGAGTCGGTCGCCAACCCCTCCTCTTCCTCTTCCTCCGCGCCCTCCTCCCCCAGCTCGTCCTCCTCATCCTCCTCGTCTTCCTCGTTTCCCCCTGCCATGCACGACGGTTGTTGCTGGTATGGGTACTGGTGGTGCAGGGGGGAGTGCTGCGGGGGGGGAGTGAACGTGAGTGTGGGGGACGTGCCTGCTAACCCGCTAGGGCTCTCCCCCTCAATCCCCCCCCCTGCAAGCCCATACGCGCCACCCATGCGCTCGTTCCCCCCTGCTACCCGGTAATCTGCGCCCATTTTCCCCGCGCCTTCCCCAGGGCCCTGCCAACCTGTCCGCTGCCCGCCTATAGTGCTGCCCAGGACGCTACTACCCGTTACACTGCTGCCCGCCATGCTGCCCGTTTCAAAATTATTCAGTCCCCCGCCCTGCCTGCGCGTCTGCGCCTGGAGAAGGGGAGACGCCTCCCCCTCCTCATATGACTGGCTGACACTTTCCGCGTCCCCACTCTCCCCCACACTCTCCCCCTCGCTCTCCCCCTCCCCGCTCCCTTCCACCCCTTGCCCCCCCCGCGCTGCCTTCCCGCTCGCCTCAAACGCGAAGTTATCCTCCTCCGCCTCCGTCCCGCTCTCCCCCACTGCGTGCGCGGCTCCCCCCGCGCCCGCGCCCGCGCGCTTGGCCATGGCGGCGAGCTGGCGCGCAAGCAGCGCGTTGTGGTCCTTCAGGCGGTCGATCAGCTGCGCCGCCAGCTCCTCGCGTTCCGCCGCCGCCTCCGCCTCTTCCGCCAGCCGCTCCACCTCCTCGTCCACCCGCGCCATGGCCGCGTGGTGCGCGCGCTCGCGCTCCGCCGCCTCGCGCACCGCAGCCTCCATCTGTTCACGCAGCTGCTCCGCCACGCCCGCGCCCTCCGCGCGGAACGCCTCGAGCGCGCTCCAGAGCTCGTCCGCGTCGAGCTGCGCGCGCTCCACGTCGCGCTGCAGGGCGGCGTTCGCGCGCTCCGCCGCCACGCGCCTCAGCCACTCCGCCTCCGCCACCGTCTCCGTGCTGCGCAATAGCTCGCGCTCCCGCCGCAACTCCTCCTGCACCTGCTCCATCTGTGGGGGGAACGCGCGAGGGGGGTTGCGGGGAAGGAGGTGTGAGGATACGCGGAGAGGAGTGGGGGCAGAATGGGTGCGGCTGTGATAAGTGCACCACAGAATGGAATTCCCGCACCCCCCCATCCACGCACCCCACAACCACGCAACCCCCACCCGCGCAGCCCCCCCACACGCGCATCCCCCATCCGCGCACCTTGATGATCATGGCGGCGGAGCGCCGCCCGAGCTCCTCGACGCGCTTGATGGCGCCATGCATGCACGCTCGCACCCCCCCCACTTCCCCCCGTACCTGCCCACCCGCGGACACCCCCCCTGTCTGCCGCACCTCAATTGTCATGGCGGCGGAACGCAGCCCGAGCTCCTCGACGCGCTTGATGGCGCCATGCATGCTCGCACCCCCCCCCAACTGCCCACCCCCCCCCACACCCGTGCACACCCCTGCCCGCGCAACCCCCATTCGCGCACCTCTATTGTCATGGCGGCGGAGCGCAGCCCCAGCTCCTCGACGCGCTTGATGGCGCGCGCAAGGTCCTCTTCGAGCGCCGCCATTTCCTCCTCGTCCTCCTCCGCCTGCTCCGCCATGTCCTCTATGCGCGCCTGTAGCATCTCCACCTCCGCCTCCTGCGCGCGCACGCGCGCGTCCGCCTCCTCCCGCACCACGCGCTGCTCCTCCGCGAAGGCTTCCGCCAGGGAGAGCGCTGCGCGGGATGGGGGGAGGGAGAGGGGGACAGCGAACGAGATGGTTCGCGGAACAGGGGAGAGAGGGCGCAGGAGGGGGCGCGGGGAGGGGAACGCGAGGTGCGGTCCCCGGGGCCCCAGGCGGCGGTGCGCGGATGGGCGGAGCGAGGTACAGGGAAGAGCGGCGGTAGAGAGTAGAATGAAGCGAATGCCGCACAGGTGATCGCGGGGGTGTGAGAGTGGAGGCGTGAGGGAGCGAGAGTGAGAATGAGGGGCATAAAGGAGGGAAGAATTAGCTGCTATTGGGATATGCGGCCTGCTGGCCCCCTCTCCTCCTCCCCCCTCCTCCACCTCCCCCTCTCCCCCGCTGTCCCTCACCCTCTCCCGCACCCCTTACACTCCCCAGCGCCCCCCCCTCCCCCCCCACTTCTCCCCCCTCCCCGCGCCTCACCCTCGCGCGCGTCTGCCAGGCGGTCTTCGAGCGCCTGCAGCTGCCCCCCGAGCGCGTGGCCCCGCCGCGCGTCGCCCAGCTGATCTCTCAACTCGCGCAACTCCTGCTCCAACTCCATCTCCTGCTCCGCCGCCGCGCGCGCCGCGCACACCGCGCACGACGGGTTGGAAGGGGGAAGAGAGCGCGGGGATGAGCAGAGGGAGAGAGAGAATGAGCGTGAGGCAATGGTGAGAGTGCCAAGAAAGGAGAGCTACGGAGGAGAGGAGGGGGGGGGCGAGGAAAAGAAAAGCAAAAAGGGGAAGATGGGGGAAAAGAGAGGGAGGGAGGGGGGGGTGGGGGAGAGGGAGAGGAAGGGACGGGGGGAAGAATGGGGAAAGGGAGGGACGGAGCGGTGCGGGCGTGGAGGAAGGCGGGGGGTTGGGGCAGGAAGGAGGCTGTACTTTTCTCGTCCAGACGGCTTCTTTGTCTTTATTCGACGCCAACAGCATCGTCAGCTCATCTTCGTGGAACCGCCTCGCGCGCTCCGCCTCTTGTCGCTCCGCCTCCAACTCCCGCGTGAGCTCCTCCACGCGCTGCGCCAGCTCCGCCTCCCGCTCCCCTCCCACGCCATACCGCGCGCGCTCTATCCCCGCGGGGCCCGCCTTTTGTCCACAAAAGCGAGCGAAGAGAGCGAGCCAGAAAAAGAAACGGGGATAAACAAATAAAGGTACGGGTGAAGCCGCGAATGCGAAGAGTAGGCAGCGAACGGCGCCGGCAGAAGAGGGAAATGAAGACAGGAGAGAAGCGCTTGGCATAGCAAGGCAGACAGCACGACGATTTGTCACTATCGCGAATCTAACGGAGCCGATCAAGCGGAAACGGAAAGAGACAAACTACCTCTAATCGGCTCCGCAGCTCTGCGCACTCGACCCGCGACGCGCGCAGTTCAAGACGGAGTCGATCCGCCTCTGACGCCATGAAAGGACAGATTGCTACACCATAGCTCTCGACGCCGCGTTGCTTCAAACACTCCTAAAAGTTACGACAACCCTCGCTATACAATCGGTGCGCGAAAGCTGGTGACAAGTGGCCAGCAGATGTGAGTTAGGTAATTCGGCAGTACTTCTGGTGAAAACTGCTCTAGATCATTGCGGCGAAACCCTAGAAGCGATTGCGGCAGTGAGGAAGAGTGGTGGTGGGTGGTTGTCCAGGTTGGCACGGCGCGCAGCAAAGTTGATTCAGGCGCTGGTGGGTTGGATGGGGAAAACAAGGCTTCTCTAAATTTCACTCGAGGTTTCACCCAGCGGTCAGTTGATTCAGGAACAAGACAATTATCCAACTCAGTGTGGGGGATGGTTGCGGGGTGTTCGTAATGAGAGTTGTTCACGGGTGAAAGACAATAGTTTCGAGAGTTTTATGAGCTGGTATTTAGCTGAGGAATCTTCCAGTCACGATAATCCTACCTAGCGTAGAAGCAAACTAAAAGGACCTCCCAGCAGCAGGCTGAATCCAAACTGGTCAATGTACAAGCTATAGTGTACGGCAGCCAGGCTGACCACGTGAAATGGAACACAATAAAGGTAACAATGGCGCGAGGCACACTCAGGCGGTCAGTGCAGAAACTGTCTCTTTAGGCGGTCAGTGCAGAAATTAGGCAAGGAAAAAGGAAATAAGCCCATTGAACTCTGCCACGCGAGACAGGGTCAGCTGAACAAGTGCCGCACGTCAGAGAGCAGATACCCTACAGGGTGGAGCGCACGACGCACACTCGCTGCGGCGGTGTTGCCAGGAACGCAAAGCAACTAAATCGAAGGTTCTCATCGCGTAGAGCAGTTACGGGTAGATTACGAAAAGGCGACTCAACGACGGCTCGAATTGTTCAAAATCGGTTACGGAGTTTGAAAAAGTCTGAACCTATACAGAATTGTTAGCAGCTCCCAATTTGACAAGTCACAATGGAAATGATTGAGATACAACTCCCCCCTTTTCTTGATTAAAAAACATAATATTCATCTAAGTTTTGTCTACATAATAGTCCACGATAACCCACGAAGAGGCACAAGTCACAAATTTCTTGCACATGCATGCATAATATATGGATCTAACCTACAGTGTTCAATTAGGATATCCCTCAACAAACAAGAGCTGCTTACATAGTTATTATGTTACAATGTACCTGTCAGTTGGATTTGGGCGACGGGAGTCCATTACTCGTTCGCGCCCTCTGACAGCTGAAGGAGCCAAAGTGCTGGCTATCCCCACGTGTGGCAGCGCTGCTGGGCTGCGCCGTTGTTGGATACTTTCTGAGCCCTCCCCCATTAGTTCGCTTTCAACCAAGTCATCCGCAAACTCGTGAAGCAATTCGCTGGAAGGCGCAGCTTTCCTGGAGATTGTCGAGCTGGCAATTTTCCTCACACGCTGACCATTACAGCTCTGCTGCCAGGTGACGGCTACTGATTGGAGAGAACCAGCAAGGCATAAGTCTTGTTTTCAAAACGCGTCTCCTCAACGGGTGTGTTCATTAATTCTGCCGCTTTATCTGTCATAGTTTCTGTACAAATGCAATAGTTACTAGGAAATGGAGGTCCTAAGATGTTATTTTACTAATAACCAGTGGAACTGAAACTAAAGCTGAATTACTACTGAATATGCAGTCGTCGACGGTCAGAGCGGGTAAATGGTGTGAATTGTGAATAGTCTCAGAGCAACCCATGTGGGTCACGGCTTCAAATCAATCGATCCCACGTAGCATCAGACTGTGCAATCCGAGCCGCTCATCCATTCCCCGTCGACTTCCCTCCTTTCCACGATTCCGCATTCCTGACTACAGAGGCTTCTCCTACCCTCCCTCACCTCCTTCCTTTGCTCTTCCTTTCCCCTTCACAGCCATGCCAACCACACTCTTTTTCTTTCATCACGAATTGAAAACAATAAAAAGCACGAGCTTCTTAGATTTTCCCAACGTCACACTCTAGATTCAAACTGCTCTTTGCTAGCTCGTTCTCCTCCCAACCAAGTACTGCATTCACAGCATCACTGATAGCCATAATGGCCGCTACAACCACCTCCTTGCGCCTCGCCCCTGCGTGCGCCACGCTGCGAGCAGACCCCGCGCATTCGCTGAAAGGCGCAACCACCGTGAAAGCCGGTCCGAAGCGCCAAAGAGCCGGCGCAGCTCGCGCCGCCATGATGGAGGCGCCACCGGTCCCAATGAAGAGCCACGAGGAGAAGAACCTGTACGTTCCTCCCTCTCTCTCTCTCCGCCCCTTCCTACCTTGCTTTCCATTTCATTCTGCTTTCGACTACTTGGCCCCGTCTCTCCGCACGGGCTGGCGTTATTTCGTGCTCGCGCGGCTTCGTGAAATGGCCACGTTGCTCCATTCGCGTCTGCCTGCCGCCGTCAGTGACGAGAAACGAATCCCACCCTCAACTCCTCGGTCCCTTGCCGCGCTCTGTTTCCCTTTGCCCGGGATTTACACCCCCGGCACCGCAGGCCGCACATTGAGCAGATCAAGGCGCTCTCACTAGTGACGGCGATCAAGACGCCGTATCTCCCGGACGGGCGGTTCGACATCGACGCTTACGACTACCTGGTGCACCACCAGATCGAGAACGGCACGGAGGCCATCATCGTGGGCGGCACGACGGGCGAGGGGCACCTCATGAGCTGGGACGAGCACGTGATGCTTATCGCGCACACGGTGAACTGCTTCGGCGATCAACTCAAGGTTATTGGGAATACCGGCAGTAACAGCACGGGCGAGGCGATGCACGCGACGGAGCAGGGCTTCGCGGTGGGCATGCACGCGGCTCTGCAGATTAACCCGTACTACGGCAAGACCAGCGTCGACGGAATCATTCAACACTACAAGTGAGTGCGACTCGTGTGGCGCGCCTGCTCTGCGGTAGCTAGGATGTTAAATAACCAACGCACTGCCTTCAGAAGGTACATAATTTATTTTGTCTCCAGTTACCGTCGAAACGCGGCCTCTCGCCTGCCTTTTCACCTTGTAACCTTCCTCCAATGTCTCATTATATTCCCTCTCCCCTCTTATCCGCTCACTGTCGTTCCACGAGCGCAGGGCGGTGCTGCCGATGGGCCCCGCGATTATCTACAACGTGCCGGGGCGCACGGGGACGGACCTGACGCCCGACGTGATCGAGGAGCTCGCCCAGCACGAGAACTTCGCGGGCGTGAAGGAGTGCGTCGGGAACGACCGCGTGTCGACGCACACTAGCAAGGGCATTGTCGTGTGGAGCGGCAACGACGACCAATGCCATGATGCCAAGTGGAAGCACGGCGCGAATGGTGTTATTTCCGTTCTCAGCAACCTCGTCCCCGGTAAGTTCCGCCCCGAGATTGGCAAAGATTCCAAGTCAAAGCCAATAGTCATCCTGAGTCCCAAGTCGTTGCAACACATCCCCATTCTCAGCAACCATGTCCTGGCGCGTGCCGTTCCAGCCCGCCCCCTCTGTCTCTCACACCACCATGCCTCTTCCCACCGCCCTTAATGCCGCTCTCGTCCCCACTCCGCTCTCGCGCGGCATGCCCACGCCGCCTCTCACCATCCCCCTTCTTGCCCCTTCTACCTGTACCTCATCTCTCCTGCATCGCCTCATGCTGCCCGCATCTCTCCCCCCCTCCCCCCCCTCTTCCGCCTCCCCCCCTCAGGGCTGGTGCACGAGATGCTGACGACGGGTCCGCACCCCGAGCTGAACGCGAAACTCGCGCCGCTCACCAAGTGGCTGTTCCTCGAGCCCAACCCCATTGGGCTCAGCACGGCGCTCTGCCAGCTCGGCCTCGTGCGGCCCGTGTTCCGCCTGCCGTACACGCCCTACAACGAGGCGCGGCGACGCGAGTTCGTGGAAATTGTGAACAACATCGGGCTGGAGCACTTCATTGGCGCGAAGGAAGTGCGCGCGCTGAAGGATGACGATTTCCACCTCATCACGCGCTTCTACTAGCTGTCTCGCCACACGTCACCGGCTGCTACAGTGTTCTTTTCTCTTAGAAAGTTGAAAATACGTCCATCAACCTCAGATGTACTACTGCAACGCAGAGGGTTAGAAAGGCCGGGTTGCTCCTGGTATCTATATTATTCAGGTTAGCATTGTGTCTTGGCAGTGAGGCCTTTCATTCAGAGCTTATATACGTGGATGTCTTTTTGCTCTTTATGTTGCCTTTTTGTACCAATGAAAGTCTCTTGATAGGCTAGTACAAACGAATTAAGTACATCTTTCGTGTTCTCATATCCAGGTGTCCTCGCATGGCCGTGTCGTGTGTTACCGCACCGAACTTGGATGGAGTGTGCCATGTGCTTGGTGTGGTGGGGTGTGGCTTGTTACACTATGCCAGGCACTTGCTCCTATGGCCATCACATCCATTACCACTCTCAACCTCTATCATTGTCCCCGGACGATCATAGATGCTGTCAGTGCAATCCACTACAGTAGGTCAACGGAATAAAGTCACTCTCTCAACCGTTCATCCTTACCACATCCATTTACAACTATACCCTTCCCGTTATATTCCCTCCGCGTAACCCTGCCTACCAATCTATGTTATGACCCGTTGTTTACAGATACACCTCAACCATCAGGGGTTCTTTTGATTGTTCATGCACCCAAACCCAAGGGTTTGGTTAGCTCCATCAACGTTACTGGCATTGCGATAGATACGGTACTGACAAACCGCGGAAACACACTGCCGATGATATATGATTTGGAATATATATACATATAACAATATAGACGTATACCTAATCGTGCGTAATCATTTTTTTTCCATTTTAACCACTTCGGGGATGACGAGGAAGCCAAAAACATATTTTAGAACAAAAGCGCAATGTTTAAGTAAACACTGTATCTGTTCACCCTTCCATCCACGCTCAATGATCGACACAACTGGTGCATTCTGCAGTGAGTATCTCCGCTGCTCATTCCAGCTTCCCACCTCGTTCTCACTCCTCCCTCCACTCTCCCGCCTCTTACGGCGTTGCATTGCACGCTGCGGCACTCCCCGTCCCTTCTCGCACGCTTCTCTTCCCGATCCAGCCTTTAAAGGCTAATCAGGACCATCTTATCACGAACGCGTGGATCATATATATTCCCAGCCCGCGTTAACCCTAATTTCTCTTCCTACTAATTCTCCGTCCAGCCATGGCGTCCACCGACCTAACATCGAAGATAGCTCCGTTTCTGGATCGCCATTTGGTGTTCCCGCTGCTGGAGTTCCTTCAGGACCGTCAGATCTACCCCGAGGAGGAGATTTTGACGGCTAAGATCGAGCTGCTGGGGCGCACGAACATGGTGGACTACGCCATGGACATCCACAAGTCGCTGCACCACTCCGAGGAGGTTCCGCCCGGTGAGTGTCACTCGCGCGTTTTTATGATGAGGAATTTCTGCCCGGCGTTTCGCGGCTTATTTCGGGAATAAATTCCGCACCACTCCGACCAGGTCCTGCCCTGTGCGTGGCGCCTTGCAACGGGGAATTCCGTAGGCAGATGGTCGCAGAGGGCTGCTTGAAGCGGAACGAGATGATCGAGGGGTCGCGGCACGTTGCGTCGGGGAGGGGAGGTTACAAGGGCTGACGAAACAGCCGAGTCCCGAGGGTCTTGCATGGCGTTATGGTCTTACACGTGTCGTTGTAGCTCTCCCCGTGGCATCGCGTGACGAATAAGGTGTCTGGTTTAGCCATGGCGAGGCGCGAGTCCACTGGTGGACGCAAAGCCCTCGTTAAACCCTTCCCGCGCCGTTCCGTCGTGCGCTACTGCTGCGCGTAAGCTCTTATTCTCGCCGCCCTTTTGCTCCCGCCCGCCCTCCCTCCCGCTCCCCTCCTCCCCTTACTTTCCCCTCCATTTCCCGCCGTCTTGATCGACGCGCGTGCGTCGGGATTTACGTGTTGGTGGCGCTGACAACGCGGCGGCGCGAGCAGCCATGGTGGAGCGGCGCGACGAGGTGGTCAGCCCGCTTATGTCCCCCTCCACCCTCTCCATCCCTTCTTTCCTCTCCCCCGCACCCCCCCTCTTCCTTCCTCCCTCGCTCCCTCCATCTCTCCAACGCGGCGGCGCGAGCAGCCATGGTGGAGCGGCGCGGCGAGGTGGTCAGCCGCCTCAAGACGCTCGAGGAGGCGGCGGCGCCGCTTGTCGCGTTCCTGCAGAACCCTGCGACGGTGCAGGAGCTGCGCTCCGATAAAGCGTACAACCTGCTCATGCTTCAGGAGAAATACCAGGTGAGACCAACAGAGGCTCGTACAGCGCCACGCTGGGACAACTCGACCAGCCGTCGTTGCTTCTCTCTCCGCGTCCCTAGCTCCTTTTCTCGCCGTCCCCCCTCCCCCGGCGCCTCTCCCCTCCCTCCTTCCGAAGCTTCCGCGCGTCCGTCACTTGTCGCTCGCGCTCCTCCGCCCCCTCTTCCTTCCCCCTTCCTCTCCCCCCTGCGCAGATCGGCGCGGAGGGCGTGGAGGCTCTCTGCTGGTATGCCAAGTTCCAGTTCGAGTGCGGCAGCTACAGCGGCGCCGCCGTCCCAGCCAACCCCCCGGCCCACCTAACCCGCTCTCCCTCCCCCGCACTTCCCCCCAGATCGGCGCGGAGGGCGTGGAGGCGCTGTATTGGTACGCCAAGTTCCAGTTCGAGTGCGGCAACTACAGCGGCGCCGCGGACTTCCTCTACCAGTACCGCCTTCTCTGCTCGTCCCCGCAGCGCGCGCTCTCCGCGTCGTGGGGCAAGCTGGCCGCGGAGCTGCTGATGCAGAACTGGGACGCCGCGGGGGAGGAGCTCGCGCGGGTGAAGGAGATGATTGATTCTCAGGTGCACGCGCGGGGGGAGAGAGGGAGGGACGGGGGAAGGGGGGTGGGTGGGAGGGCGGGTAGTCGAGTGGGGCAAGCTGGCGGCGGAGCTGCTGATGCAGAACCGGGTCCCCGCGGGGGAGGAGCTCGCGCGCGTGAATGAGATGATCGACTCGCAGGTGCAACAAGGGGGGTAGGAAGAGGGGAGGATGGGGGGAAGAGGGGGAAAATGGCGGGGACGGAAGGAGACAGGAAATGGGTAGAAAGCGAGGTTGGGAGGGAAAAGGGTAACGGGTAGAGTGGGAAAAAATGGAGAGGGGGATGCCTCATGCTTCATGCCTCATGCCTCATGCTTCATGCCTCATGCTTCATGCTTCATGCCTCATGCTTCATGCTTCATGCTTCATGCCTCATGCTTCATGCCGCATGCCTCATGCTTCATGCCTCATGCTTCATGCTTCATGCCTCATGCTTCATGCCTTGTGCTTCATGCACCCTCCGTTCCCCCACATATCTAACCACCCCCGCCCCCCCGTGCCTCTCCGCATGCGTTGAGCCCTCTTCCTGATGCTGCACTATGCACCATCCGCCCCCCATGAAGCAACCCCTCCCTCGTTTTTCCATTCCGCCTTCCCCACACGCGTCCCCTGCACACGGCTGCTGCACTGGGCGCTCGTCCTCATGCTGCGCAAGCACACCCTCAATCCTCCCTTTGAACTTCCCCCGTCTCCCCCCACTTTCGCATTTCATGAAACCACATTCACAGACCTTCGCGTCCCCGTTAGCGGTGCTGCAGGAGCGCACGTGGCTGCTGCACTGGGCGCTCTTCGCCATGCTGCACTCGGAGAACGGCCGCTCCAACCTCGTCGACCTCTTTCTCCAGGACAAGTAAGTGCGCTCTGCCCCGCTCACTCCTCTGCCTGCAGGACAAGTAAGTGCGCTCTGCCCCGCTCACTCCTCTGCCTGCAGGACAAGTAAGTGCGCTCTGCCCCGCTCACTCCTCTGCCTGCAGGACAAGTAAGTGCGCTCTGCCCCGCTCACTCCTCTGCCTGCAGGACAAGTGAGCCACGGCTCGCTCACATCCTTCGCTTCGAACCTTTTGAGTCCCGGCCCCCGGTTCCCCGGCCCTCTTACCCCCGGGTTCCAGGCTTTCTGTCCTCTAGTTTCCCTTCGCTCCCTTCCGCCCTTTCACGCCCATGCACCCACTCACCTCCCTCTCGCCCGCTCGCCTCTCTCTCGGCACCCATCCAAAAAAATGCCTGCTTCCCCCATTACCTCCCTCTCCCAGCCCTTCCAAAAAAGTGCCTTCTTCCCCCCCCATAAGATACCTAAGCGCCATCCAGACGAACGCGCAGCACCTGCTGCTCTATCTGGTGGCGGCCGTGCTCACATGCACGCACTGCCACAGCGCAGTGAAGGAGGTGACTTTTGAGTCGACTCAAAAATGTGCTCACATGCACGCACTGCGTGTAAGTAGACGACTTTTGAGACGGCCGTGCTCAAAAGTCGGCTACCTGGTGGCGGCCGTGCTCACATGCACGCACCGGCACAGCGCAGTGAAGGAGGTGGCGCGAGTGGTGGAGGATGTGGGGGTGGGTGGATTGAGGCCCGCTCCTGTTCCTCACCCTCTCTCTCCTCATTCTTCCCCCATTCTCTCCCTCCTTTCTGTCCCCTTCCCCCTCCCTCCCCCCCTCCCCCCCCACCCTCCCCCCCTCCTCCTCACCCCCCTATCAGGTATCTGAGCGCAATCCAGGCGAATGCGCAGCACCTGCTGCGCTACCTCGTTGCAGCTGTGCTCACATGCAAGCCCCGTCCCCTTTTCCCCTATGCACCTCGCCCCCCTACCCCCTGCTCCCCCTCTCGCCAGGTATCTGAGCGCCATTCAGACGAACGCGCAGCACCTGCTGCGCTACCTCGTTGCAGCCGTGCTCACATGCAAGCCCCGTCCCCCCTTCCCCCCCACCCTCCCCCCCTTCCTTCCCCCAACAGGTACCTGAGTGCCATTCAGACGAACGCGCAGCACCTGCTGCGCTATCTGGTGGCGGCCGTGCTCACATGCAAGCGCAGGCGCAGCGCAGTGAAGGAGGTGGCGCGGGTGGTGGAGGCGGAGAGGCATGCCTACAGCGACCCGCTCACGCAATTCCTGCTGGCGCTGGTTGTGGACCTTGATTTCGATGAGGCTCAGAGCCGGCTGAAGGAGTGTGAAGAGGTGAGGGAGGAGTGCAAAGCAGTGAGAGCAGCGCACTGTAGTCAAGGTGGTGGAGGGAGGCGGAGAGGCACGCCTACAGCGACCCGCTCACGCAATTCCTGCTGGCGCTGGTCGTTGATTTGGACTTTGATGAGGCTCAGAGCCGACTCAAGGAGTGCGAAGAGGTGAGGACCGGTTCTTTTGAGACGCCACCTTTTTTTTTTCCTTCCAGATTGCCTTCTTTCCAGTTAATTTCACCCAGGGCTGTCCCTCCCCCCCTCTCCTGTTTCACCCTATTTTCCCATTCCCCTTTTCCCCATCCCCCTTCCCCCCCCCCCCCCCCCCCCCCCCCCCCCCTGCTTCCCCTTCCTCCCCCATTTCCAGCTACTGTCGAATGTTTTCTTTCTGGGCAAGCGCATGGCGGAGGGAGGGCGGGTACGTGGCCCTCAGGTGTGTTTTGAGTCGACTCAAAACACACGCGGGTACGTGGCGCTCCTTCCCCTCACCCTTTCCCGCGCCTTCCTCCTCCTCCCTCATACACACACCTCCCTCCCTCTCCTCCCCCCTGGCTCGGCAGCTACTGTCGAATGATTTCTTTCTGGGCAAGCGCGTGGCGGGAAGGCGGGTATGTGGCGGTGCCGCTGAGGGACGAGGTGATTGACAGTGCGCGCCTGCTCATGTTCGAAAACTACTGCAGCATCCACCGCCGTATTGACATCAAGTGAGCCCCTCACTGCTCCTCACCGCACTGCACCTCGCCTCACCTCACTGCACCACACCACACCATATTGCGCCTCAAGCGAGTGCTTGTGAGGGACGAGGTGATTGACAGTGCTCGCCTGCTCATGTTCGAAACTATTGCAGCATTCACTGCCGTATTGACATCAAGTGAGCCCGTCACCTCTCTGCACCGCACTGCACACACCGCACTGTGCCTCAAGTTAGGCCCTCTGAGGGACGAGGTGATTGACAGTGCGCGCCTGCTCATGTTTGAGAACTACTGCAGCATCCACCGCCGCATCGATATCAAGTGAGCACTGCACTGCTGCACCACTGCAGCGTCAAGTTAGCCCATGCGTGTGTGCGCCCTCACCCCACCTCATGGCAACCTACTCCACTGCACCACACCCCTCCTCACTGCACTCCACCTCTCCTCACCGCAGGGTGGTGGCAGAGAAGAAGAGCATGGCAACGGATGCAGCTGAGCTGTGGATGTTCACCCTCTGCATCTCCCTCTGCACCGCACTGCACCCCCCTCCACCTTTGTGTCTTCCTCCCCGTTCAGGGTGGGTGGCGGAGAAGCTGAGCATGGCAACGGACGCAGCGGAGAGGTGGATGGCGAATCTGATCCGCACTGCCAAGCTGGATGCTACCATCGATTCGGAGGCCGGCACGCTCGTCATGGCCACTGCTCAACCCAACGTGTACGTCGCTGGGCATGGGTGTGGGGATGTGAATGTGTGCACACACGTACTTGTGACCTGACTCCATGTAAAAACCATGGGCAAATTATTGTGTATGGGTATGGCATTGGCATGAGGATGGGCATGAGCACGGCATGGCACGGCATTTGCATGGAATGGGCGTGGGCATACGTGTGTGCATGGGCATGGCATGGCATGGCATACGTGTGTGCATGGGCATGGCATGGCATGGCATGGCATACGTGTGTGCATGTCGCAACACACCCATCATTCTTTCGCCAACCCTCTGTATTCCTTTCTCCCTTGGGTCCCGCCTTTCCCCTCCCCGCCCCCTCCTCTCCCATCTTCACACCCTTCCCTGCCCCTTCTCTGCAGGTACGAGAACCTAATAGAGCGATCGAGAGGCCTCACCTCTCGCACCTATGCCCTCGCCTCCAACGTCGCAGCTATCGCCCTGCAGCAGTAGCAAGCACCACCACCTGTGCACCAATCAACCAACACACCTTTGTTCTGAGCATCCCAGTTACAAATGGGGCACTTTTTGAGGTGCCTCAATAATAGCAGCAACACCCATCCACCTCGCCAAACATCTCTGTTACAGATGGGGCATTTGAGCTTTCCGCCATCACTTTTTGAATGGGACGATGTGGTTCCACTAGAAGGTCTATGTGTATGTGCACTAGCTTGCACTGTATGTGTTCTAGCTTGTAACTCATGCATAATCTGTAGCGTGGTCTGCTGGTGCTGGTCCATGGTGAGAATGCATTGCCGGATACCTATATTAGATTGTTACTGCACACATTCCTGCCTGTGTACGATAGAAGCATGTAGAGATGTGTACACAACGTTACTGGGTTCTCACCAACCCAAATATTGAGAAAGCTTGCTTTTTTTCTTATCAATTGGCATCGTTCTCATTACAAATGGCGTATTACAACATTTGCATCATCGTTCGACATAAGCTAGTGCGGACTAATAACACTAGCTATTATGTACCCTATCCCAAGTGGCATTAGCAAGGCGGTTTACACTGGGGTGGGTGGTGGGAATGTTGAGTGGGCCGTTTGAAAATTGAGAAACGTGGGTGGAGGGAAATGAGCCTCCAACCCACGGTTTTTGTAGTTGGAGAAGGGCGTTTAGCGCGCTTCGACGATGCCATTGTGCAGTACAAGCAGCTTCGCTTTCACAATACACTATTTTAAAAAAAACACTACATGTGTGTTTAAAAAATTTAATATTGAGAAAGCTTGCTTTCTTTCTTATCAATTGGCATCGTTCTCATTACAAATGGGGGTCTCTGAGACATGGCAGCGGGGCCTCCGGTTGCGTACGAGTGCCTCTGTGTGTTGCGCCGATGACACCGCATGCGTCGAATCTTGTAGGGTACGGGAGGCTTCGATGAGGGGCTCGACGTATGGCGTAACATACATTTCCTTTGCTGTGTCGCTTCGCCATCTGCCCAGCCGTTTGAAGACTCTGTCTGGCACTCCCGTGTTGGCTGCTACTGTGGCTGCAACCTTTTTCGGAAAGAATGGGTGCCTAGCTGCAACTCTTTAAAGGCCAACCTTTGCGAAGGCTTCCTTGCACCAGTTCCGGATCGTAGTGTATGAAGGTGGCCTAGCCTGGCCCTCGCTGGTTGAACCGTGACCGAAGACACGAATCAATGGTCCCTCTGACCGTGGGCCATAGCCAGCGAGTCGGATGAAGCGTCGGGTGCAGCGCACATGGGCAGCAGGGGTCCGCCGTTGCTGGCAATGGGTATCCAAGTGCCGTGACCAGCTTGATCGGTCTTGGAGTGTGGTATGAGAATCCACATGACCTCGTCGTCGAATTGGATGTCTTGCCATTTTATGGCTACTAGGTCAGAGTATCGCAGGAATCCGGAGTACATGAGGATGGGTATCAACCCTTTCCTGAAATTGCGCAGGATCGTCGGACTGCAAGTAGCTCGCGGCCATTTCCTGGACTTGTTGGATCGAGACGGGTTCCTTCAGACGAGTAGGGCGTGGCAGTGTCGCTTTGCATAGTCACGGACTTGGGTGGTGAACGGTCCGGTTGTCGGGCATTTGCTCCCGGTCATGCGATGGCGAAGCTGACCGCCGAGCAGGTTAGCTGCACTAACGGACAGGGTGGCTTTGCGTCGGATTGCGTGTACCATGTATAGCGCGAGGGTCATGTCGGATGCCGGGAGGAATGGAAGGTTCACTTTTGGGCAGAAGGCTCGAAACTTGGCCCAGTATGGTTCATATGTCCGGATCGTAGAATCGGCGCGGGGACTGCGCGAGCATGTTGATCAGTTGGTCGTGTAACTTTGGGAGCAAAATCTGAGCACAAGGTGTATATATTTTGAATTAGTACAAATGCCACTCGCAGTGCATGATTGGGCTCTGCGGTAGTCCCATGCCCGAAAAAGCAGTTGAATGGGACCCTACGTCTAGGCATTGGCTTCCGTGTGTCAGAGGGATGTGCGCGTGGATGTGTGGTGCCCAAGTGCGTGGGGAGGGTTGCAAGAGTGGCCACCAGCTTGCGCCTGGCCAGTGCGTG